CCATATTTCGAACATGTACAATAATTGTACATAATCTTTAATCAACACAATCATCGTTAATTCCGGCAACTAAACAGTGTCGTTAGATAGAAGCGACAAACTAGAAGCCCACTCGGATCCACTCGCTTTTAATAGTCTGTCGTCTTAGACTGATGGTTTCCAACCAACCTAGGGGGGGGGGGGGGGTCCAAGAAAGGCGTGAAGCATTTTTGAAATTGTCTATTTGTACTTGTAATAATCCGTTAAACTAACATTCTTTTCAGTTCAATTAGTGGGGGGGGAAAAATAAAACAAAAAGCAAAGAACTTTTTTTACGGAAACACTTCATCATCATCATCATCATCGTCATCATCATCCTCATCATCATCATCATCATCATCCTCATCATCATAAGCCACTTCTGCCTTTAGGGCAAGAAAGAAATAAACGGTGATCCTGTGCATTGCTGCCACTGACTATGTCATGCCGTGAAAGCCTGGAGTGTCTTTAATGTTGTCGATCCATTGTTCGCCGCTGTGCTCTTGCTTTTGTAGCTGATCTTCTGAGATGTAGTGCCGGTGATGGTATTTGATCTTGCTCAGTTTGTATATTTACCGTTATGTCTCTGTTTCCTCCAAAACATGATGCTATTACAGCTACTTGCGTATCCTTTACAGAACGTTGCAGAACCAACCACAACATTTTTTATTGGGGGGGGGGGAGGGGTGGGGGGTTAGTTTTTGTAGATACATTTACGTTTAATGAGTTGCCATCGCAACTGATCGGTCGAATGTCGGTACCACTGTCGAAACCAGTGCAAGATGGTCTTTTACCAAGTCGTCTGAAACTGAAATCGAACTCCACAGCCCGGCATTACAAAGCGCGTTCGCAGTGCCCAAGACACAGACCCGACTATGGTGTGAATCGCTTAGTATGCAGGCCTACAGTGTCTCAGCTTCACTGACACAATAGCTCTAAGTCCTGACCCCCGCAGGATTGCAGGCTACAGATGGCTGATATAGTCGTTACGGCTGTCACAGTGATATCTTCTTCAAAGATTGAGCGGGGTATTTGGGATCTGTCTTGCAGTTCTTTCGTCAAGACTAAGATTTGTTATTATCAAAGGGTAGTAAACTTTCGGGTAGCAGCTTAGAGGGGTCAAACCGATCAATGATCGATTGATATTGGCCCAACCCACCCACACTGGGTTACATGTTACCTCCTGACCCTCCAGTGCCCTAATATAACTGATACGCAGCTGAACGGAGTTTCCCAGATTTGCACCTGTTTGATTTTCATCCTTGGGGTGCTAAATTCTTCTTTTCCCGCCGAAATCCAGTGTGTTATCCAGTGTTGCCATTTTGGATCTTTTATATCCAAATTTAGATCTTTTTCATTGCATTTAGATACTGTTTTTGACGTTTAGATCGTAAATATTTTTCTAGATACTTTTCATGTTTAGTTAGATATTTTATAGATTTTTTTTCTTTCATTGTCAATTTAATAATTACTGTGTAAAATATTTACTACAATATTTTTGTTTTGGTCTGGCACGTACATTGTGACAACTGCCATTATTTGAATTTTGAACTTCTCACTGAGGTCAAGGCACAAAATATCTGGCAGCCCCGGTACTATTCAAATAAAACGCGCGTAAAATCATACTAACTTTGTTTCAACCGTATCCTCACTGTGCTGACTTTGCGTTTCTTTTCATGTGATTTTAAAAAAATAAATTGCCCACCTTCTTATGTGCTTTCACTTTGGAAAAAAACTTTCAACTGCCTAAAGTAAAGTATGAGCAAAAAAAATTTGGAAATAGTGGTTGCATGATGACAAAATTAAAAAAAATTTGATATGACCAAAGCTGTGTTTGTAAGTACTGCAAGTATGAAGTTGAAGAGAAAATACAAAACTCAAAAAAGTTCATGCAGAGACTATAAAGCAAGCAAAAACTGTCAGTTTTTCATTTAAAGATATTGCACCGCTGACATACTGTTTTCATAACTATACTGATAAATGAATCATCAAAAGTTGAAGTATCAGTGTTTTTTAAGTTGTCACTGCGCAATTTCAAAACTGTGACCATTTGATTCGAGATTTGTAAAAAATCTTGGACTAGTTCGATTTGAAAAGTGTGATGTAGAAAGTATAGTTTAGGAACTGAAGGAACTTTAATCAGCAAAACAGTTAGGCTTGAAGAATTTGGCTGTAATTGGTACGGATAATGCCTCAGTGATGGGTTGGTATAAACAAATGGCGTTTATGCCAAGTTGAAGGAAGCTAACCCATCGTTAATGCATATAAAATGTATGCGTCATTCATTGCAGCTAGCGTTATCACATGCTTCATCTAAATATTACCAAGAATTTGGAATACCTTATTGCTGAAACACTTTACGTTTTCCAAATCATTTGTCAGACAACAGCAATACACTACATTATATACAGCCTTGAATGATGTGTCCACCCACCGAAAATTCTGTCGATTGCAAAACTAGATGGTTATCATTTAACCAGCTGTTGAAAGAATTATGAAGCAATGGTTGAAGTTGAAGACACACTTTGAAAAATAACAAGACAAAGTGAAAGTGCTACACAGCTGAAATACTATATGGAATGTACAGTGATGAAACAAACAAAACAGAAACTAAAGCGTTTTGGAGTGAAGTGAGACAATTTAAAGATGCCTCATCAAACAGTCCATTCTGTAAGCTCTTTAAAGTGTCATTGTCTGCCATTATACTTTCCACTCAAATGCTGACGTAGAGAAAGAGTGTATTTCAGTGCTAGGAATTATATCAAATCTAACTTTAAAAAAAACATGATTGAAATTTGACCTCTTAAATGCTATCGTGCCATTAAAATTCGGCCTGATGAGACTAGGGAAATAAGCCTACTGTTCGACTTATAAAGAAATTTGAACTGCTAAAGCATACCAGGGTCATTTTGGATCTGAAGCTTCAACTTCATTATCCAAGCTAAGTTTATCCTGTGGATCTTGTGGGGCAGACATCAGTGAAGGTGAGGACATGATTATGTAGGGTAAGTCATTACAAAAGCTATGTAATTTTTGACTTTTTCAATTTGGATGTTTTTTATAGATCTTTTCCACGGAGATTCAGATCTTTTTAGATATTTTTTGACACCGTTTTGGATATTTTTTGTCAAAGAAAAGTGGCAACACTGGTGTTATCACCTACAATCAGTGTGTATCAGATAGAGAACGGTGTGTAATTATATATTTTAATCTGGTTTGAACATGCAAAAGAAATCTGGCTAGGTATGCTAACATACACAGCATTGTATGTTATATCTTTAAAAATAATATACTCATGCTCTCTTCATTGTGTCTGTTATCTCCTTAAGTATTTGGAACGAAATCTTCTGGTACTGGAAGGAGGCGGTGGCGTAACAACCAGATGCTCGACTGCGGATCGAAAGGTCGTAGATTCTAGTTCTGACGGAGCCGGACTTTTTTCAAAAATGACCGTGGCTCCCATCTATCTATCTATCTATCTATCTATCTATCTATCTATCTATCTATCTATCTATCTATCTATCTATCTATCTATCTATCTATCTATCTATCTATCTATCTATCTATCTATCTATCTATCTATCTATCTATCTATCTATCTGTCTATCTGTCTATCTGTCTGTCTGTCTGTCTGTCTGTCTATCTATCTAATCTATCTATCTAATCTATCTATCTATCTATCTATCTATCTATCTATCTATCTATCTATCTATCTATCTATCTATCTATCTATCTATCTATCTATCTATCTATCTATCTATCTATCTATCTATCTATCTATCTATCTATCTATCTATCTATCTATCTATCTATCTATCTATCTATCTATCTATCTATCTATCTATCTATCTATCTATCTATCTATCTATCTATCTATCTATCTATCTATCTATCTATCTATCTTCTTTAACCCCACCAGGACATCACACAAGCGATAAACACCCGTGGAGAGGTCCCAGAAACCGCGTTCAGCATACCATATTTATGGTTGGGCTATATTGCGGCCCCTGGCAAGAGCCAGAGAAGGGCTTTAAATAAAGACAAACTGCATCCCAAAAGGGGATGATACGATTCAGTTCAGACCTTGGCTCCCAGGTCGAACCCGCCTTGAGTGAAGTAAAGGCGACCAGTGGGATGCTGACCATATCATCCACCAAGTGCCGATTGGTCTATGATATGCAGGTCTAGTTCTATCTGCCTAACAGGCTTAAAGGCGTGGAAAGGGTCCTTCTACTGAAAACGTTAATTCTACAGAATGCAATCCTGGAGGGGGAAATATTTTTAATGGCCTGAAATGGTCCTTCCATTTATGTACCACGTCTGATTGACACAGTCTTCATATGTTAAGAGTTGAGCATGTCGTATGTGACAGTAAGTCTTTAAATTTTGGAGAGAAATCTGGAAAACACAAATTTAGCAACATATATGGTATTTGGCCCGCGGAATTTATTTGTGGTTATTGTGTTATCGTTATTTCTGTAATATGCATCCTCCATGGCCTTAGGGTATTGACAGAAATAATAACACTATTATCATGTAGGGAATCCCGTGACGTTGGCGTCTAGACGACCGCCTGCGGATCGGAAACTCGTGGGTTCGCTTCCTGACAGAGCTAAACATTTTTTTTGTCTGTTTAAAAATGACCTTGACTCCAAGGTCGACCCAGCCTTGAGTGGGTACCAAGTGCAGTCCTGGGAAGACAAGGCGGCCGGCGTGATGCTGACCACATCACTCACCAAGTGCCGATGTGTCTATACAGATATAGGTCTAGTCTTATATTGCCAATACGCCTAAAGGCGTGAAAAAGGGACCATAATTATCATGTGCCATGGTAATAATCGTAGGTAGTCTTAGTTCATTGTATCCTAGCCACCGTACTCACGGATCATCTCTGTTGTCTTGTCCCACACATGTTGCAGCCAAGCCATCTATACAGTGTTTATCTTACAAAACACTTCTGAAATATTTTCTTCATTCCTCAGCTAACAATAATACAAATGAAAAAAATTCACCTCCGGAGACGGTTATGACACTGAAAATACCAACACAAGCTAAACTGAAAGAACCACTAGAAAGCAAAGGATGAACAGTCAACCAACACTTTCATTGTTCCTGAACTACCTACCAAAGATGACTCAGACATATCTGAACGCCTTATATGTTGTCACTGTGTTCCCGATGCTACAGAGTACTGATGCAGTTTTGTACTGACAGTATGTTTAGTTAAACACATACATTGTTTAAACTTTACTTGCCAATTTTCTAACAGGGATGATTTTAGAATGTATGATGAACAATCGCTGGATTCCATTGCACTCAGAACAAGCTGACAGAAGCTCAGTCTCTTCCAGTGGAAGCTGAAGGATATTGATGATGATTTTCCCTGCTGAATGAGTGACGTCCAACTCCACCAGGACCGTATAACAAGCGACAAACACCAGGTGATACAAAGTGCCACCATTCCGATGAGAGTTTCCCGGCATAAATCCCTAACACCCAGTTCAACCGCTAGGTTATATTAGGGCCCCCGACAACAGCAGAGTTGGGGCTTTCAAATGGAGGGGGGGGGGGCTGCGTCCCATATTGGGGCGGAGTTTATTAATAGCTTTTCCACTGCTACAGTGCAGACCACTTCAGGCAATCTCAGATATGGCAAATTTCTGTTGTGAAGAAGTTTATTCATCTCTGGCAATTACCATGTGCCTGAACTCTTATTTGGATTAGAGGAATTTCTGATAAAAAGAACTATTTCTGGAGTCCCTGGTGAGATCTCCTTATCAGGTCTGCACTGTATTAGCTGGTTTGCTACATCTTGAAATCATCCTTGCCTGCCTTCGGTGCTATAGTGCGTTTCAAAACTCATGCCGTCACACTTCAACAAATATCTCAAAAACTCCTGTTTGGATAAACAGGAAGTTTTGCATGTGGCCTACGATTTTCAGTGTCCTTGTGATTTTATAATTTACAGTGTCACAGGTGCTGCTGTTTTCTTAAAGCTGCATTTTTTCTTTGATCTTTGTTTGACTCATAATTTGTGTAGCCCTAAAAATATAATCTATAGTAATTTACACATGGGTGGAGATTGTTTGGAAATCAGTTTACCTGTGTGGCGATGAGTTAAAGATTATTTTCATAGCCTATAGGGCATACAATAAAAAGCTTTGCTCATCTAACAACTCACTTGAGGCAACTGCAGGAGATGAGCACTCAAGAGTGCAGTGACTATGAAACGTGCACAATTTGATGTTTTGAAAAGTTCCTCTTACTCAAGTCATTGTGAGCATGCTGATTGTTTGCATTGAATCGATGTCTGTTTTTTTTCATATGCTACAATTATGGCGGGAGTCGCCATGGCGGAGTGACTAGACGCTCGCTGCGGATCGGAAGGTCGTGGGTTCGCTCCCTAGCGGAGCCAGACTTTTTTTCAGAAATGACCTTGGCTCTTAGGATGACATAGCCTTGAGTGGGTACCAGGTGCAGTCCCGGGAACTAAAGACGGCCGCTTGATGCTGACCACATCACCCATCTTTGCTGATTGTTCTATAAAATATAGGTCTAGCCCTATACGCCGTAAGGTGTGGAAGAGGGTCCGTTACTTACTTTACTTGCAATTAAGGCAAAATGAAAACTATGTTTACATTAAAAAAATATATTATAAGGACATGATTATTAAAGACTGAGTGCCAAATCTCAAGAACTGACACCGAACGGTTACTGGGTTACAGATTTGTAAAGTTCCACAGGTCTTTTGGAACAGACTGTACCATTCTTATACTTACTTCCCTGCCTCACCACAGGAAATCAAGAAGATTTATAAGGAGTTGTATCTTTATGAAACAAGCTGTCATTTATTGCCTTCAGTACGTTCACTCTCACTGAGGATAATCTGGCAACAGTTTTGCCACCATCTGTAGAAAGCACCTGGTCATCATCTTAAAGCAGTTTTAGAGCTGACGTAAAGAAAACTTCTAGGGCATCTAATAGCCATCTTTTGAAGCACTTTTAGAGCTGTCGCCAAGAAACGTCTAGAGCACCTGGTAGCCATCCTCATGAAGCAGTTTTGGAACTGTCGTAAAGAAACTTTGAGAGTACCTGGTAGACATCCTCATGAAGCAGTTTTAGAGCTGTCATAAAGAAACATCTAGAGCACCTGGTAGACATCCTCATGAAGCAGTTTTAAAGCTGTCATAAAGAAATATCTAGAGCACCTGGTAGCCGTCTTCAAAAAGCAGTTTTAGAGCTGTAATTTTGAAACTCTTAGAGCACCTGGTAGCCATTCTCATGAAACAGTTTTACAGCTTTTGTAAAGAAACTTCAAGAGCACATGGAGACCAGATCCCTGCGTTACTATGCCATTTCTGTTTCGTCTTCAGCAACACAAGAGTGAGGAAGCCACGATGGTGTAGTGGCTAGACACACTATCGCCAGCCCAATGGTCTTGGGTTTGAATCAACATCTCAATGTGTGGGTACCTGGGGCCAGCCCCACTGTGGAGGCAGAAAGTAAAATATAGACCCACTGCCCTCTAATAAGCATGGCGTTAAAACCAACTAATTAGGGGTGATGCTTCGATGTTAGAGAGCATCTGCCAGAAAGGCCAGGAACCAACAGTTCTGGAACAAGACATGAAGTGGATGAACAACCAGTAACTTTTTATGGGAGTGTACAGACAGTAAAGGCAAAGTAGAAAAATCAACATCTAGACAGATGTGTTTCAGAACTGACATGGGCTTTCAGACTGACCCAGCCTAAAAGGAGTACCAAGTCCTGGGAAGTAAAGGTGGCCAGCATGATGCTGACCCACATCACCCACCAAGGGCTGATTGGTCTATGAAAACATGAGTCTAGCACCATATGCTTCCTGCAACACTGGCATAAAAAAGGCTTCTTTATCTGTGTACAATATGGTTGCTGCAACACTGACGTAAAAAAGGCTTTATTAACTCTTGTGTACAATATGGTTGCTGCAACACTGGCGTAAAAAAGGCTTTTTTAACTCTTGTGTACAATATGGTTGCTGCAACACTGGCATAAACAAGGTTTCTTTATCTGTGTACAATATGGTTGCTGCCACACTGGCATAAACAAGGTTTCTTTATCTGTGTACAATATGGTTGCTGCCACACTGGCATAAACAAGGTTTCTTTATCTGTATACAATATGGTTGCTGCCACACTGTCATAAACAAGGTTTCTTTATCTGTGTACAATATGGTTGCTGCAACACTGACGGTAAAAAAAAGGCTTTATTAACTATTGTGTACAATATGGTTGAAGATGGCAACTGGTCGGATTTTATCTGGCCAGTCTTACAATCAAGAAAGATCAAACTGCCAGCAGCCCCGATTGTGGGCGAGTATGCTACCCTTCTACCAAGAAGACATCTAACAGATGTGATTATCAGACTCCATGAACATGCTTCAGAAAATCCCAACCAGTAGGTAGCCTATGCTATGTATGGGTACAAAGCAGGGCCGGATTTAGACTTAATCTGACATTAAGCTATATAAAGCCCCAAGGTTTTTTTCCAATTTAAATTATACTCCACGTCCCCCCACAGGTGATCCTCATCTGCATGGTGGCACTTTGTGTCACCAGGTGTTTATTGCTTGTGTGATGTCCTAGTGGGGTACAACTACATACCTACCTTCCATTTTAAATGACACTAATTAATCTCTGAAAGAACAACATGTGAGATGGTTTGGCCACTTCACGCGAATGCCATGGTACCATCTGCCACAGACAGCCACACTGAAAAAAATATATTGAATGCAGAGCAAGGGAAAGACCACACAAAAGATGGAGCGACACCACCAGGAGCAACCTAACAGAAATGAACACCAACTGGTTCAATGCATTGGAAAAAGCACATAAATTATACTTACATCTTCACCCAACACCTCGCTGAGGTAAATGTTGGAAGAGAAAAAGAATCTCTGAAATTAATGCACATCAAGCTGATTATTTTGTTCAATTTTAAATAGTCTATAAGTTAGAATTAATAAAAACCTGAGATAATATTCACAAAATAATAAAATTAGGAAATTTCTAGGTATTCTTTTTTTTTTTTTAAACATAAACTGAACTGAATTTGTGAAAAACAAATTATTGTTGAGGCTCCTGTAAATTGTGAAGTCCTGTAGCTTAGTAAGTTTATGCCTAAATCCAGCCCTGGCACAAAAGAATTCAAATGTTGCACTTAACCTCTCTCATCTGGATCTACACACCTGGGCACAACAGAGTAAAGGTAATGAACAAGTGGACCAGTTGGCAAGTATTGCATCATTGCAGGAAGATGCATGGACAAATCAAACCATCTACCAGTGGTTCTCAACCTATCAAATGCCGCAACCCTTCAATATAGTTTCTCATGTTTGTGGTGACCCCCAACCATAAAATTATTTTCATTGCTACTTCATGTTCAGTGAATATGTGTTTTCTAATGGTGAAATGGACCCCTGTGAAAGGGTTGTTCGACCTCCAGAGGGGTTATGACCCACAGGCTGAGAACCCCTGCTCTATGTGGACTAGACTAATGGATAATAATGAATCTCTGGCGCTAACACCATTACATGACCTTAAAGTAAAGCCCGGAGAAGCCGTTGTCAGTGCTGTCTTCGGATTATGAGGAGAAACAGTACAAATTCTGAGAAGAATCAGTAGAGGTACTTTGGGGTGACTGCTGCACCTGAGGACTGCAAAGGCGTGAGAATGCCCAATGTGCAGTGACTTTGACTGTGCTAACAATAACAGTAAGGTTACTCTATATTTAATAGAGGAAATAAACTTATGTTACTAAATACAATAAATTAGTATTTCTTACAATGTAACAAATTTAATATAGGCATCCTGGGTATATCGTACCATTATATCAGCCATCTTTACTTGCAAGACAATTTCCCAATTTTAATTTTGGGCTGGCTTGACCTGAGATTAGTTAGTTAGTTGGGTTATCATCATTGCACTCCTGACGTGTCCATAGGTGTTCAGATCCTCCACTCAGTATGACCCCATTGTCCAGTGGCTGATAGTACAGTTCTATGTTGTTTAACCATTCCTCTGATGTGTCTCTTCTTTGCTATGCCGATCTTAATTCCCATGCCTATCAATCTGGCGAGTGATGTGGATTCACTGCCCCCAAAGTCCTTCCCCCTTCCCATTTCTCAGAGGGCATTAATAATATCAGCATGATCCATAGACTGACCATTGGTAGTGACAGCTGATCCAGCCAGCCTATCATCTAGCACCGAACCTGACTGAACCCCCTGGATCATACTCACAGAATCACTGAGAGCCTTGAAGGAGTTTTGAAATTATGACCACTGGATTGGCTTGCTTGCCATCCACTGCATTCTCCCAGTCTTATTAACATATATTAGATCTGATCTCTTCCTACACCAAACAGAACAGTGTGTGTGTATGCATGTGCACACAAACTCTATGGTGTTTTCTGCCTGCATGTAGCACTTTTTGAGGTGGTATAGGACAAGGAAGGAGGGGAGCTCATGAGCTGAGAATTTATGGCTGCATGGATAGTGCAGTCACCAAAGACTGCAGGTCAAGATTTGTTTCCAGGGCAGAAAAATATCCACTGCCTTACTGAGGATTTGAACCTATGTCTTATGCCCTTCAATGTCAAGTTCTAACATGACAAACGTTAGGTTTGCATCTAGCTGCAAGCAGTTTTTACAAAGAACCCAACGATATCCACTTTTACCTGAACCAAGGTTAGTGGAACTTCTCAAATATGAGCACAAGTACTAGTGACTGCAGGAATTGGAGCTGTAGCAGTATAGTGACTCGACATTTGCCTGATGCCCCAAATGTCTTGCTCTCTTTCCATCAATCTTGCCCGTGATTACCTAGCTCTTCAGCATAAAAATGGGTAAAAGGTTTGCCCTGAGGAATCAAGACAACCAGCATGATGGTGCTATTTCACCCACCAAGTGCCAGTTGGTTCACAAACAAATGAGTCTCACATCATATTCCCAAAGCAGAGTTGGTGTTAAAAAAAAAGAGTACTTCTGCAGGAATGCATCAGCAGTTGGAAGTCATAAAGAATATATTATACAGGCCTAATTTCAAAATTAACAAGTGTATCCCACAACAGAACATTTGTATTTGTAGTCTTAGTCTTAGTTGAGATTTCAATTTCACTGCAGTCGGGCCATTCCCTACTTGCTCCGTTCCCCTGCCAGTGAAAATCAAATGAAATGTCCTTCACTGTCCCATTTGAAAAACTGTTGAACAAACAACTGTCCCGGCACAGTCAGAAATATGCGCATGCAGTAAAAGCATATGGCAACTGCTAGAGACACCAAGGCCAACAGTCACCACCAGAAATGCAGTTTGCTGTTGATGGAAGTACTCGGATATGAAGTTAAAAGTAGGATTAGCTTTGCTGCTACAGGCTATCTCATGTAGCTCATTCTTTCTATAGACAACAGCTAGCTGCCTGATATCACGCAAAGCACCATTTCTATAGCTCCAGGGATCTCTATAAAGTCTACATAGGTAAACAGAACGACGTATTCATGAAACAAACCCATGGCTTTTAGAGCATAAGGCAAATTACTTGACCACACCACCAGGAAAGTCCCTAGGATTCCTGACAGACACATACTCAAACCCTAACCAAGGTTACAGCGGTTTAGATTTAGGTTTAAACAACAGATCAACATCTCTATAAATACAGCATCTTCACAGCTAGGTGCTCCAGACACATCCATAGGTGCTCAGATTCATGAGTTAGATTATCTTCACAGCGACTCCAGACACATCCATAGGTGCTCAGATTCATGAGTTAGATTATCTTCACAGCGACTCCAGACACATCCATAGGTGCTCAGATTCATGAGTTAGATTATCTTCACAGCGACTCCAGACACATCCATAGGTGCTCAGATTCATGAGTTAGATTATCTTCACAGCAGACACATCCATACTCAGATTCATGAGTTAGACACATCCATAGGTGCTCAGATTCATGAGTTAGATTATCTTCACAGCGACTCCAGACACATCCATAGGTGCTCAGATTCATGAGTTAGATTATCTTCACAGCGACTCCAGACACATCCATAGGTGCTCAGATTCATGAGTTAGATTATCTTCACAGCACTGACACATCCATAGGTGCTCAGATTCATGAGTTCTATCTTCACAGCACTCCAGACACATCCATAGGTGCTCAGATTCATGAGTTAGATTATCTTCACAGCGACTCCAGACACATCCATAGGTGCTCAGATTCATGAGTTAGATTATCTTCACAGCACTCCAGACACATCCATAGGTGCTCAGATTCATGAGTTAGATTATCTTCACAGCGACTCCAGACACATCCATAGGTGCTCAGATTCATGAGTTAGATTATCTTCACAGCACTCCAGACACATCCATAGGTGCTCAGATTCATGAGTTAGATTATCTTCACAGCACTCCAGACACATCCATAGGTGCTCAGATTCATGAGTTAGATTATCTTCACACAGACACCATAGGTGCTCAGATTCATGAGTTAGATTATCTTCACAGCGACTCCAGACACATCCATAGGTGCTCAGATTCATGAGTTAGATTATCTTCACAGCGACTCCGGACACATCCATAGGTGCTCAGATTCATGAGTTAGATTATCTTCACAGCGACTCCAGACACATCCATAGGTGCTCAGATTCATGAGTTAGATTATCTTCACAGCGACTCCAGACACATCCATAGGTGCTCAGATTCATGAGTTAGATTATCTTCACAGCGACTCCGGACACATCCATAGGTGCTCAGATTCATGAGTTAGATTATCTTCACAGCGACTCCAGACACATCCATAGGTGCTCAGATTCATGAGTTAGATTATCACAGCGACTCCAGACACATCCATAGGTGCTCAGATTCATAGGTGCCATAGGTGCTTTGAGTTAGATTATCTTCACAGCGACTCCGGACACATCCATAGGTGCTCAGATTCATGAGTTAGATTATCTTCACAGCGACTCCGGACACATCCATAGGTGCTCATTGAGTTAGATTATCTTCACAGCGACTCCGGACACATCCATAGGTGCTCAGATTCATGAGTTAGATTATCTTCACAGCACTCCGGACACATAGGTGCCAGAATGAGTTGCTATCTTCACAGCAGATAGGTGCTCAGATTCATGAGTTAGATTATCTTCACAGCGACTCCAGACACATCCATAGGTGCTCAGATTCATGAGTTAGATAATCTTCACAGCACTCCGGACACATCCATAGGTGCTCAGATTCCTCTCTCAACATATTCATCAGCGTCGTGCGGTTAATAGTACCAGTCCAATGTTGGTTAACAAGACTTCGTGTGCGTCTGGTGTGCTTCACATGCTTGGCTGTGCAGATCTTTACTCCCAATTCACGTATTCTTAGCAGATATGATTATGTGTCCTATCTGATATGTATTTTTTGGTCACCTTTTGATGCACTCATAAAATTCTCTCCTTTATCTTGACATCAGAGATTCTGGCATACTAATAAATCCTTCTTTTCTGAGCGGGCACTAAAAAAATTTATGTTTGTAGTTTAATAGTAGCTGTTTTAACCTATACATAATTATTCTGTTGATTCTGTAAAGTCTGCAAGCCCAAAATAAGATACTAACTCAGATTATTCGTAGAAACTTTGTAGCAATATAACCTTATAAATACTTCCCAAAATCACACACATTCTGAATAACAAATGCACTATTGTTCACATAATTTTATTTTATTTTAAGCAATGTTAAAATCGAATTTAAAAATCTCATTCACTATCACTTTCTCTATAATGATCTCAAAAAAGTAATTTGTTTTCCCCCAGCTTGAAGAAACACAAGAGCAAGCCTCTCATTTGTGTAATTCATCCACAAAATCCTAGGTAAATATAAACAGACAAATCATAACTAAACATAAACAGAACAATCATAACTAAAGTGAAGATAATTAGCCAGGAAATTTACAAGCCAGCTCCTCCTCGACAGGCTGGAGACTGTCCTACATCTTTGGAAGTCTCCCATTCTTGTGGCGTCTTCGCCTTCAAACAAAGATAATAAAGACAAATAAGACAGTTGTAATACTTCCACCACACACACACATAAATGTTACATTTTCACAGATTTATCTCAAAAACATATTAGTTTCACATGTCCACAAACCAATAAATGTTATTGTTTTCACAGACACATCTCAACAAATGTATTACTTTCACATACACACAAGCTAATAGATTAATACTTTTAAACACATACAAACAAAAGGAAAATTGTCACACACATATAAACCAATTTAATGTTTTCCCCCACAAACAAACTAATAAATACTACATTTTTGCAAACATATCTCAACAAATGTTTTACTTTCACTTACACACAAACTGATAAATGTAATACTGTTATACATATACAAAAATAACAAATGTAATACTTTCACAGACACATGTATAAAAAATGTAATACTTCCACACACACAAACTAATAAATGTTAAATTTTCACAGACAGAACTTAACAAATATATTACTTTCACATGCACACAAGCTAACAATGTAATACTTTCATACATATACAAACTAACAAATGTAATACTGTTGCATAGGTGTGAAAAAATGTAATACTTTTGCTTATATATGCTAACAAATGTAATACTTTCATATATTTATATTAACAAATGTAATACTTTCATACATTTATACTAACAAATGTAATACTTTCATACATTTATATTAACAAATGTATTACTTTCATACATTTATACTAACAAATGTAATACTATCAAACATATATAAAGAAATGTCTGAAAATCTTATGTTCTAAATGGGAATATAAAAAGCACAAGAAGAGATGAATTGCAATTTTATTAGTGTTAAAATTCATGATCATTTTATATTAAAGCCCCGAAAAAAAAAACACCAATCTGCTGTGATAAGTGAGCCAAGGTTGAAACAAATGTAAAAACTACCAGCGGTAGGAAATAATGAACCATGCTATGTTGATCTGCTCACTTAAATCATTATCACCAATTAGCAGGCCCTTCACAGAAGGTCACTTTCTTCTTGGCACACCGAATGTCTCTCATTCTCTAGCTCATACTCCAACCCAATGTGCTTTTATAGCCAATGCATCTTCAGTGTATGGTGTCCACCTTCACAGAGGTTGACCTCTGCCTTCTTTTCCAGAAACTGCTCCTTCATCACTGCTCTCTTCAGGTCACCATGACGCCCAAAACTCGCAGCTTTCAGGACAGGATGCTGTCTATGAGCCAATTCTCCTTGATGTTCAGGTCATGTAGGACATAGCTATTCAACTAAGCTACCTCAGGGGCCAAACTTTTGAAAGTAGGAATCGTCAAGGGCCAGAGGCCTAAGCTCCAGCATAGAAAGATCATTAATTCAATACAACTGGTAGTGATTCACGAGCCACCTGCTAGGCCAGTTGAATAGCCCTGATGTAGGAGGTCGGTGTTTTTCTTCTTCTTGGTCCAGTTTCTGTTCTGTAGTATTTCAGCTCAAAAGCTCTTACTGTTCAGTTTAAAAGAAGCAACACACACACACATAGAAACAAAACCACGTCTACTCACCACAATGGATAAAGCATGTATTGAAGACTCCAGCTCCTCCTGAAGGGCTTTGTGGACCAGCTTGTGCTTCTGTGTTCAAGAAAAGTATAAACCAGAGACTTCAACAGCAGAAAAAAAAAATAACCACAGCACTTAAATTTTTTGTTTCCTCTCTGTGATCTTTAGTCAAGATATAAACAAAATATATCATTGCTATCCTTTCTAAATCAAAAAATGGAATTCAAAATTCTATAAATTTAAAACTAAGTTATGTATTTTATATATTCCAATGTTACCTCAATTTTAACATATGCCAGTGATATTTGAAGAACCACTAACGACAATTAACTAAGTTAAACACATATGAAAACAAATTACTGAGAAAACTATCAAACACAAAATGGGATGCATTTGAGAGGTGAAGAAATGAAGAGAAATGTCTGGGGCACCACTGGTAACAACAGTTATAAAACAAAGAAGATGGGGCTGTACTGGAGACATCCTGAGATGAAACAAGCAGAAAATCATCAAATAGACACTAAAATAGAAAACACAGGGGCTGAGAAAGCCAGGATATCTAAAATAAACAGCAAAACGAATGTTGATGAGAGAGGCCAAGGCTGCTGGACTAGATTTCATCCATTATATCAAAGGGACTGCATAGGATAGGATGCAATGGAGGAATAGACTGTGTGCCCTATGTGACACACAGTGGCTCAACAGGACAATGAGGATAATCCTTACTGGCAGCAACAATACTGGTTTGTAGTTATCTGTAGTTGAGATTTGATTCGCTGATTTGTCGACCAATATTGTTATGTCTCACACTGCTACTTTTATTAGCTCCGTAGAGTTGTCACAGCATGATTAATGTCACCAAATCGACACCAGAGTATGGACCTCTCGAACAACAACTACCTTATGGTTCGCATTACTATAATTAGTGATCTCTGCCTATCACCAGCAACTTGTGATCATGACCAATAACTTTCTGTTTCAATCTTCAGAAGAGGAAATAAGAATATGTCTGCAAAATCAAGAATATGTCTGCAAAATCACAGAAATTACACTATATAATCCTCTTTTATTTGCACTGATGAACAAAATAGGAGTTGTTGGAGGTCTCTGCAGATTCAGAGGCCCTACGCTACAGCTTAGTTAGCTTATGCCTAAATCCAGCACTGGTACCAGGAAATGTCCTAGGAAGTAAAAGTACCCAGCAGGACCACATTACCCAAGTGCTAATTGGTTTATAAAAGCACAGGTCTAGTGCTAAACGCCCAAATGTGTCAAAAGGGTATTTTTACTTTACATTTTAACTTCTACCTTGAGGTCAAACAGCAGAATATTCTTCCAATGCTTGTGTAAACCAATGACCTGTTATTTCCTTCCATTGTGTGTTGTCTGGGCCCCTGTTGAGTAGGTTCTGGACAGTATTCAGGTTGAGTAATGGCCACCTCCCCTTAACTGGGACCCTAACAAACTGTTTAATCCAATAATTGTTGCAGATGCTTGTCTACTACTGGGTCAGAGGTCTTTGACTGAGATCGACAATGAGTAAATTGTTGTTAATACTTCAGCTTGGTTCTTAGCCTAAGGTAGGTACCAGGAAATGTCATGGGAAGTAAAGATGGCTGGCATAATACTGACCACTTTACCCATCGAGTGTCAACTGGTCTTCAACAATATTAGTCATGCATCCTATGCTTTTTTTGTGTGACTTATAATAATTATTTCAATAAGACACTGGGAAGGCTAACCCGGTCAACAAATGCCAGCAAAAACTGGATGTGTTGGCCAAAAGATGCAAATATCGCAGCCATGTTGTAAATGGACACAACGCAATTACATCTTCGGACAATTGCAGAAGAAGAAGATTTCAACAAGACAGTGATGACATTTTGCAAGAGGTTTTAACAGTCACCTAAAACATAACATGCCTATAGATTACAACTGTTTCTAATGTGTTCTCCGTTATCAATTCCCTTCCCCTGATCTTTTATAAGTGTTAACCAATTTCCAAAAATGTATACACCTTATCGGGGCTTCCTGTTACTTACATCAATGCGTTTCACATTTTCAAAGGCAGACGAAACAATCACAACTTTGAAGTGAGACTCTGTGCCTGTGAAAAGAATGAGGCTCTTTCAGTAAGAATGTTAATTTCACTTATCTTATTCTGAGAAATTAGGTAATAAATATTTATGCCTGTGAAACCTATGTAATACCACAATGGAACAGAAGTAGTTTAAGTAAGAATTACAGCAGATTGGGTTCATTTAACAATTAGAAGTTCAATCTTCTTCTTCTCAACATTCACCAGCTGTAAACTCCAATAGTGTTCTGGTTGTTTGTCCACTTCTGGACAAAGGTCTTGTTCCAGAACTTGAGTTTTGCATGTACATCTATTTTACAGATCTGGCTTAATTATATGCAGACTGTTGGTGTCTTGCCTCTCAGGCAGATGAGCTCCCATTTCAAAGAAATTTTGAAATCAGTTGCCTTTTACGACATGCTTGTTGGGGGAGGGCATGGGTCTATTCTTCCCTCCCCCACCCCAAAAGGGGTAGTAGAACCTCTGTGAAGCATAATAATAACATTTATGAAACTAGCTTTGGATGGTGCAAACTAATGCAAACCACAATATTTTGAACGGATTAAGAATTTGACATGCAGGCTGATATAACATTCTACATCTCTCCTCTCATACACTGTTTCTTAACATATATCTAATTAGATTATTCTTAAAAAAAATATAATAATAATTGTACTATATACGCATGGGAAATTGCAATATTACTGCATTAAAATCAAAACCCACTAGTTTGTCTAGAGTACTATGACAGTGGAGAAGAGAGCTGAAGAATGAAGTTAGAAAGATGGGAAGGATATGGGGAGAGCTCCATGTAATGGCGAAGGACAGAACTTGGCGTGAGTTGGTTGAGGGCCTATGCTCCACTTGGGGATAGAATAGAAGAAGAAGAAGACTATGAAAGTGGTGAAGCAATTGACAAATACTGAAATATCTACAATTAATGCTTCCATTATCTTACTTGCACATGAAGCTCCCTAAATAAATTCACAATCTCAAGATACCGTAAATTGTACCGTACAAGTTCACCTGGTGCACAAGTCGACCTGCTGATTTTTAGTTCAAAATTCTGAGTTTAGCCTACATCCACCTAATATATGTTATGCCCCCCAAAATAAGCCAATCCTCAGTTTTGAAAATATTTGTTTAGGCTCGAACTCAATGTAAACAAAATATTTATGGCAAAATATTTGATATTATTTTCTTCTCTGCCTAACTGCACCTGTAAATATCACACCAAAATCAACTGCTCAAGGAACAAAATCACAACATTAAGGAATTAAAAACACATGCTCTGTATCACACATTATACCTTTTGGAACGTTATGCATGTAGCTTTCATTGATCACTTCAAGGTGTTCTGGCTAGAAGACAGAAAACTATAGTTATAAATAATTTAAAGGTGAAACAATCATTTTTATTAATGGTGAGCTACCATGGTCTAGAAAGGAAGAAACTGAGGCCAATAAACACAGACCATACTTCAAGGAGGTTTGAAACACATGATTGCAGGGCAGCATGCTAACCACTGCACTGTTATTATTCCTATACTGCTGTGACCGTTCTGTCTTTCCAGATGGCAGTATTTTCTTCTGCATTCATCCAAAGATGTAAATGCGCTGCGCAAATTTACAAGTCGGCTGCAATATTTGCGCCTTCTAGCTGACACATCTGACTTCTGCAGGCATTCATTTCATGCTAAAGTTAGCCTCTCCAGTTTCATGAGACACTGCAGTCTCACTGCTTTGTGGTTATCCTAGTTTCCTAGGTCACAGCTAGTGCAATTAGGCTGGTCCAGGGAAGCTACGTAATGCTGGCCACAGCTCCCAAGAGAAAGCCAGAGCAGAATATGAGCATTCCCTGCCATCCAAGGATGCTTCCATAAACACAGAGCTAATACAAGGTGCTTTGGTACTGGGTTTACCCAAGGAATCATCACCTCCTGCTTATGACTGTTTAATCTCGCTTCTGTATACTGTGTATCTCATTCATCATGGGTAATGTCTTTAGAAGCCAGCAGGAGAAAGCCTGCTGACCTGGGTTTTTGACTGCTTACACAAAATTAGTACTTTGCTTCTTATGCATGTTAGACTTTTACTGCAGCAGACCTCCATGTCTACTACAGTATCGTAAGACGGCAGTATAAACTGCAGTTAAGGCCGAGGATCAAGTTCTGTATCTCCTAGCCTTGTTGGTACATTTCTATCTTTCCTAAAGATAGTGTTATACTGCAATTAAAGCCAGAGACAAAGTTCCTTCTCTCCATGCACAAAGCTTGGGCATTATTGTAGAGATGAAGTGTTGCACATGCAGCATGATCCCTCACTTGGCCTGCACTGCTTACACTAAAGGAAACACATCACCAAACTGCTGGTCCAGGAGACACCCTGCCATAAACATTTAGTCATCTACACACACACACACACACACACAATTAATTGTCTTCCCCGTGTGGGTTCCAGGGCCCCATTGTGGGGAAAACAAGTACAGACCCACTGCCTCTCCGACAAGCATGTCAGAGGAGTCAATATTTATTTCACACACACTAGGAAATTTAAAAAAAAAACATATTTCAATACAAACCTTCAGTGCTTCCGACAGCTTTTTATGAATAGCAGTCTCAACAGGTTTCTGAAATCAAACCAGACATTAATGATCAAAAACCATTAAATCCCCATTGTGTGATGGTTGGCATCTGTGGCTTAGGAACATGCTTCGTAATGCCTGGGTGCCGGGTTCGATCCCAGCTGCAGACTATTTGTCTTGCGTTGGTTTTGACAGTGGTACTGAGAACTGACTGTTTAGAAAGCAATGAAAACTACTGAATGTAAAATTTGTCTAGAAAAACCCCAACAACCAAAAATTGCTGAGGTTGGTTCTGCAACGTCCTGTAAAAGATATGCAACTAACTTTAATTCTGAGTCTAATGGGTCAATTTTATGAAATACAGATCTAGATTTACAGGGTGTCCCGTCAGTTCCCATATAATAAACCTTTTTACAAGAAACATAACTCCAACTGTGCTTATTCATGACTTTACTGTTGAAGAACATGTACAACCACATGCTATAGTTATGCTTGTTATGGCACTGTTGATACGTTTACTGTTCTTATATATGCAAACTCGTGGGACACATGAACATTTCTCTATTATATCCATTCTGAAAAAGTTAAAAAAAAGTTAAAACAAAAGATTTATTCAAAAAAAAAAAAAAAAAAACCACATGATGGGTGGAAATCCAGCTTAACTAACCCACCGATACATTCAACAGGAAGGCGAAATGAAAAGATAAACTGTATGTTCAGTAATTGTCCCTTGTGGCACTCCAATCAAACTAAGATCTGGGGGTGTTTATGTTTTTATTGAGAAAGTGGGTAATAATTATAATTAACACATTATAATACTTTAAATAATCTTGACACGGAGAAAAAGATAGATGAGAACTGACATCACAACACATAAGTGCTCTGCCCCATCTTCAGCAGCCAGGTAACAGCTGCAAAGACAATGGTATCAGTAGCAGCAGCTGAATTACATTTTTTATCTTCCTTTCCTCTGAGTGCTTCTACACAGTTCACTTGCTCCCAAAGGGCTCGGACCACACCTAGCTTGTCATGTATAAATCTACCATCCGTGATTCAGTACCAGTCAATATATGTATTCCCCAATAGACAGAAGAGCAGGAAGAGTAATTGTTATACAAATAACATTAATTAGAGAAAATAGCACATACAATATCACTTAACAAAAAAACCAGCAGTAGAACAAAAATATAAAGAGGCATTATCAACCATCAAATATCGACTAGACTGTAAAGAACAAGATTTTTTTCATTATTTCCAATAAGGAAACCAGAAAAATCTATCATCGTCGATCATGTGTCCCATACATTTTGCTTCGCACACGGCTCCGTACTTGTTCTAATATTCTGAAGTACGATTAAACTATTCAGGGAAATTCACTCTGCCGAAACCCTTTCAGCTACAACAGTGCATTTTCTAAGTTCGTTTTCGAGTGCCATGAATATCAATGTTCCAACCACAAGTGCAGGTCGCAGAATGTGTCTTTCTGCAGATGAAGCTGATAATGATAATGAAAATTTAGATTTTTCGGAAAGTGAATCGGGCGGTTAATTTTCCCCAGCGAAGCTGAGCGATCAGCTGTTCGGAATCTAGTGATTCTGATGAGTTTATTACACAGACAGTGTCCCATTGCTACTGTATTTATGGTGTAAGAGAAGGAAAGTGCTCTAAACAAAGAGAATATGCTATACAATCTGGATATTCACTACTCTTGTGGCTGCAGAATCATGGTAAGTAAAGAATTTGTTTGTAAAATGTTGTTGTGAAATAAACACCTGCAGAATTCTTCTTTCCTACTAACTATAAACAAATTAAACATACACTTATCGTCAAATTTAAAATGAATTCATTTCTCTTTAAAAAAATATATTTAAAAAAAATTAGGATTAGAAGAATATTACATTCTCTATCACCTTTCTTGTACACCCACCCCTGTGCGATTTTTGTAAAGGGAAATTAATGTGGGCCAAGTCTGTCAAAAGTCATGTGCCTGAAAGAGTTAAGCAGTTGTGACAACCACCAAGAAGGCCAGTCATAAAATGGCTGGCCAAGCAGTTAAGATTGCTGGGTTCTCATTTAGCAAAACAAGGTTCAAATCCTCAGGTGATGGATTTTTTTTCCCACACAAAACTCTTATCCTGTAGTCCATGGTGACTGCACTAGTTATGCGTCCCTAAATCTTCAGATCCAACCCTCCCTTCCTCCCCCATTCTACAGTATGTTAAGTCTTTGTATCTCAAGCAACACACCCCATGTGATCAATTATTATCCATACATATCAACTGTTCAATTACATCTTCAACAATCTGGTTGTAGCACACTAAAGACACCTGGCTAGATTTATTAATGTACAGCTCAATGATTATTTCATCTATATAAGTAATGTGCTTATGCTTGTTTTCATTGCTGTTGATGTGTTACGTTGACATCTGCTACAAATTCTTATAGGAATGAAAGAGTTAGAGAATGATTTCATATTAGCTTCAATAATCTTCTTTTACAGTTGTCAATGATTTACCTCATCCCCCATGGCTGTACTTGTGGATTTCTCTCTAAACACAGATGACCTGGTGAGTGATGAAGTCCTAAGAGCTGATGAGTGAATGAAGCGGAACAAAGAAGACACTGCTCTACTTGCCATACATACCTGCAAAAAATTAGATACAATAAATTTTAAACAGAAAATTTAATTCAGAATGGAAATAACTAATTATTTCAATTATAGACCTGCAAACACTAGGTATCACCAACTGGAAAGGGAAGGCCAACCAGAGAGATGAATGAAGGTGGGTTATATCTGCAGCCATGAACCTCAAGGGCTCGGAATGCTGCAGAAGAAGAAGAATTAAAGGCAGCCCATTTATGAATAAATGCTGTTGGAAGATACAATATTAGATACAACAACATGTGTAAGGATTTGTCTATTTGGAATTAAGTACACACAACCAGTCAGCTACTGGAACAGTTAGCATCTATACCTGAAGGCAACTGCTGCAGGAGTCAGAGCATCTTTGGGTATGCCTGATATGTTATGATGCTGATTCTTCAATCTGTAATAATTATCAGGAGCTTGGTTGGGACATGAGGTGAGACAGGATTCGATTGCAAAGACTGCACTTCAAGGAGCATTAGGGTGTAGTTTAAGAAGAGGAGGGCAAAGAACCTGGAATGACAACATCAAGAAATGGACAGGATTAAGTTATCATACTTATTTATTTATTTATCAAGCAGAAGACAAGAAAAACATGGCTGGTTTTATGTGCTAGTGCTTCCATCAATACACTTCCACGACCTTAATGGGTCAAGGGTTATGTTATTTTATGTAATAATTATAGACAAATGAAAAGTGCGTTACAGAAATAAAAGAGATATCTGAAATATTTTGGCAAAATAAAAAGACATAACATTAAAAATAATAATGGATAGAATTGATGAGGGCAAGAGGTAGATAATGATACATGTGGGAAGACAACATCAAGCGATGGACAAACCACAGTCAGACACAGTCAACAACCTAAACGAGAGACAAAGCGTGTTGGAGATCTGTTGCAGCCAACCTTCTTTGTTGAGATGGCACTTGGTTGAGTGATGAATCATTATAGGTAGAGCTAGTCCCATAGAAGATACTGGCACTGGGTGGTAATCTGTAAAGCCTTCACATTTTAAACACTATGAGATATGAGTGGGTTGTCTTGTTTCCTTCTCAGTCACATTTCCTTCAAAGGCAATTCTCGGAAAATTAGAACAAACTGAGGAAGTGCTGATTTCTTGTGCAGATATCATTAAATAATAGCAAAAAGAAGAAGAAGCAGTTTCTAAAAATGTTGGCAGCTCTCTATTTCTTGTGCAGACATTATTAATAAAAACTGCAAACATATAGAAGAAGAAAGATCCACATATTATAAACCAGCTTTCTATAAAATCACTTTGCTCCATGCTATTATATGTCAGTTGCATCTGTGGTTTTGAATCGGTGTTTGTGGCTTAGGGGTTGCGAACTCGCTTTGTAATGCTGGGGTGCCAGGGTTCAATCCAAGCTGCAGACAGTTTGCCTTGCACTGGTTTTGACAGTGGCACTGAGAGCAGACCATCCAGAAAGCAAAGACAAACTACTGGATGTAGAAAAACCACAACATCCAAAAAATGCTGGGGTTGGTTTCGCAACATCCTGTAAAGGAATACGCAACTAACTGACTAGAAGATGTCAGCATATGTGTTTTAAGATTTTCAAGCATGCTTCATAATTCCAAGGCGCCAGTCCAATCCCAGCTGCAGGTGATTTGGCAGCAGACTGCCTTGCATAGGTTTCGGCATTAGTTTTGACAGTGGTATTAAGAGCTGATCTTTCAGGAAGCAATAGCAAACTACTGAAAGTAAATCTTATAGTCTGCCTAGTGAAATCACAAACAGTAACAGCCAAAACATACATTGATTCTGCAACATCCTGTAAAGAATACACAACTAACATTTGACTAGAAGGTATACTATAGTATTAGTAGTAGGTGCAAGAACATCGGCAGTTTTACTGATCAGTAAAAAATAACTGCCTCTCATGGGAACTGAAAACAGCCAATTATCCTAGTAGACAAGCACACACTACTTACTGTGCCACAGGGGTAATTATAATTACTAATAGTAATATTTAATATCATCTTACCCCATACTGATTAGTCAGAATAGTTAGTCAGCCAATTACTGCCAAATTATATATATGATATATGGAAATTCAAAATGCAGATAAGTGGTTTTTACAGGAATTACTTTTTTAACGTTCCTCCTCACAGGTTAGACTAACCGTTAACATTCAAACTTGCAAGTAATGTAAGAAAGAATGACTTGACGATTGATTATTAATAGGGTGTTTACTGTTTTATTAATTATTATTAATAATATTTCAAATATGTATAAAGAAGGAAAAACAACAATAACAGTTACAATTATATATTTTATACTATTATTTAATAGTCAATAGAAAGTCTAGCCCTTACTATTGCGATGGTTCGTATGGTGACAAACTACAGAAATGACTAAATCAAGACAAGTAGAGAGTTAGAAACGACTGAAGTGAAAACACCGACCAGGTTATCTATCACTGGGCAGAAGTAACAGCGTGTGAAAACTGTCGGAGTTCTGGGCCTTCTTTACTATTCATACGGTTCCGTTCAGATGATATAACACATCTATACAACATAATTGCCAGACATTGATTCGTAGTTCGTGGAAACAATAAATAAATCAAATACAGAGAACTGAGTGGAAGAAGTGAGGAAGATATAATCAAAATATTCACTATTTTTCAATCAACGCTTATACTATTCCTGGTACATAAAAAAAAAAATTACAGTAATCGGTCACAAGTAGATACAACAAATATTGTGGATTCGAGTTACACATTTATTAATATGGCTGCGGGAGCAGTAAGTTATCTACAACACAGTTTACCCATTGTACGATTATAAAAGACAACTGTGATTGTTTACATCATAATATTTGATATATAATGTCTGCAAATACAGAGACTGGCTCAGAGGATGCTAGCGGTGTACAGAAGACGGCGAAAACGACACAAAATTCGACAGCAGAACTGAACAAAACGAACAATTTTCAAAGAATTGCCCACAAGAAAATGGTCGTCCGTAACTATCCCCGCAGCAAAAAACTCGAAACACTGGCCGTATATTCAAGCTGCAAGGTATTTTTTTTTTAGGTCATTGCATTCAAATTTAGCTGGGTAATCCAGTAGTAATATGGTTTTTTTTTCCTAAACGATGTTTGCACTTTTCATTTAGTTCTTAATTAGATGACTTCTTCATGTGAGTGACAGCCCGTGGATTTTTTTGTTTTTGGTTGCAGTAGTAGTTAGTAGCAGTAGTACTACTACTAACTACTACACAGTAGTTCAACAGGACAATGATAATGATCCTTCCTGGCAGCAACTGGTTTGAAGTTATTTTAAGTTGAGACTGCCTTCACTGATTTGTCGACCGATATTCGTATTGTTATGTCTCATCTCATACTCATGATACTGCTACTTTTATTAGTTCCGTTTAGTTGTCACATAGTGATCTTTGCCTACCACCAGGTACTTGTGATCATGACCAACAACTATCTGTTTTAATTTTCAGCAAAGAAAATAATCAAGAATATGTCTGCAAAATCAAAGAAATTACACTATATAATCCTCTTTGGCTTTCCTCCGAATAACGGTCCCAAATTATCAAGGCCGAAAATATACACTAACAGGTCCTCAGTCACATGTCAATTGTGGACTTTTGCGGACTATACCACCACCGCCGAGAGTATCTCCCACGCCGCTCGCGGTGGATTGGGGCTAAACTAGATGGCTGGGACTCACGAGCAAATAAAATGAAGGAAGCTGCAGGAGATGCGATAGCTGCTGCTTATGAGTCCCAGCCACCTAGTTTAGCTCCAATCCACGCCACTCGCACGGAGTTGGAGATACTCTCGGCAGTGGCGGAAGTGCGCAATTTAAGTCGCAGGAAGTCCGCAATTGACACGTGACTGAGACCCTGTAAGGGTATATTTTCGGCCTCGATAATTTGGGACCGTTTTTCAGAGTATAGCCTCCTCTTATTTGCATTGATAAAAAAAATAGGAATTTTGAAGCCCTCTGCAGATTCTGAGGCCATATGCTACAGCTTAGTTAGCTTATGCCTAAATCCAGCACTGGTACCAGGAAATGTCCTAGGAAGTAAAGGTACCCAGCGGGACCACATTACCCAAGTGCCAACTGGTTTATAAAAATTACAGGTCTAGTGCAAAACGCCCAAATGTGCTGAAATGGTCTTTTTACTTTACAATTTTAACTTTTACCTTGGAAGTTGGGCAGCACATTGTGTTTTATTTTACAGCTAAGCTGCGATATCTGTGCCTTTAAAAAAAAGACCTTGGCTCTCAGGTTGACCCAGTCTTGAGAAGGCACCAGGTACAGTCCTGGGAAGTAAAGGCTGCCGGCGTGGTGCTGACCACATCACCTACCTAATGCTGATTGGTCTATAAAATATAGGTCTAGCCCTATATGCCAATTCGCCTAAAGGCGTGGAAAAGGATCTTTTACTTTACTTTTACCTATAATGGTGCCCTAGGACCCACACAAGAAATAATAATCATCATCTGGGGCCTTGCCGACTGGTGTGGACAATCATGCCTCTCCATAATCCATGATCTCTTGCAGCATGTATCAGTTCGTGTGCCGACACACCTCCATGCCACGCAACAAGACTGTCAAGAATCATCTCTCGTTGTCTTCCTCTATCCCTTCTTCCAGAGATCTTCCCAGTGGTCACAACATGTTCTATTTTCCCTCTTCTCATAACATGGCCGAAAAATGATCACTGTCTCCTTCTGATGTCTGTGATAAGTTTTCTGCGGGCTCCCGCCTCTTTCAAAACCTCTTAGTTGCTCTTTTTTGGCTGTCCAAGGTATTCTAAGCATTCTTCTGTGAAATCACATCTCTAAGGCCTCAAGAAATTGTTTGGCCTGCCTACCGATTGTCCAGGATTCACAACCATATGTTAAAACTGGATGTATGTAGCAAGCAAGAATTCTTTTTCTAACTCTCGGTGAAAGGATATATTGCACAAGATGTTCTTCATTTCATAAAATGCAGTTTTTTCTTGTCCTATTCTGTTTCTTACCTCAGTTATGCATCTTCTATCTGATGTTATCCATGTGCCCAGATACTTAAATTTCTGTACTTGTCCTAAAATAACACCATCAACTTTTGTTACACACTAAGGAATAATTTGTTTCTTTGATACCACCATTACTTCTGTTTTCCCATTATTTAAACTGAGTCCCATTCTTCCACTTTCTAGCACCACAAGTCTGTCATTTCCTGTAGTTCTTTCTGACTTGTTGCTATCAAGACTGTGTCATCAGCATAACGTAAATTGTTTATATTGTGCCCACCAACCACAATTCCGGGCATATCAGTTAAAGATCTCATTATATATTCACTGTATATTGAAAACACATCAGGTGATAGTGCACATCCTTGTCGTACGCCCCTCTTTATGCTTTGAAATGTATCTAAACAGTTGTTAATTCTTATAGCTGCTGTTTGCTGCCAATACATATTTATTATTCGTAGATTTTTTCCATTAGAGTTTAATTTTTCTAACAGTTTGATTACTTCTTCATGCTTCACACAGTCAAATGCTTTTGTATAGTATATGAAGCATAAGTACAAATCAGTCTTTACTTCTATAGCTCTTTCTGACAATGTCCTTAGGATGTATATGGCATTGTTTGAATCTTTTTCTTCTACAAATCCACATTGTTCATCGCTGATTTCTGGTTTAATTTTGTTTCTTATTCTTCTCATTATTATTCTCAGTAAAATCTTAGTCATGTGACTCATAAGACTGATTGTGCGATGGTCTTCACATTTTAAAGTGCCTGGTTTCTTTGGCAGAGCTAAATAAACATAAATGGAAATAAACATTAATGTATATGTATGCTAAGATATGTCATTAGTATTTTATTTTCAATCAGTAGGGAGATTTTTTTTTTTTAAATAAGTTATGCATCCAGCCATTCTGTTATTCTAATTATACCCAGACTTTTCTGACTGATGACATTGTATTCATGGTTTCAGTCCGAGGGCTGTAAATGTAATGGCTGGAAAAACCCAAATGCGCCACCACAGCCTCCAGTAGCAGACACATCTCAGCCAGTTGTAAGCCTAACAGACCCCTGCAAAAGCTGCAGGCATCCATTAGGTATATCTCTTGTTTATTTTGGTTCCTTTATCTGTTTTTGTGTGTTTTCTGTTTCTTCTATGTCTCTTTTTTTTTTACCTTTTATTCCTTTTCCAAATGAGGCATTATTCTTCAACAATCTCACACCAGAGGTTCATCTCCTTTGCTATCTTATACAGCTCACTTCATCCCCCATTTACCATCCCCCCCCCCCCCCCATCTTTTTTCAGCTACATCTCTGATGTATCTTTTTATGAGAACCGATTAAATATGAATCCTCTTTGAAAGTAGTAACTGGCTGGTTCTGCACCCCTTGATGGTGAACTGATGTCTGACAAGCTGGATGTTGTGAGGGCTCTTTGGGAGCGAGTGAACAGTGCCAAGGAACAGATAGATCATTATGTTCTGATAATAATGGCGCTGTGAGGAGTTACAAGGGAATCTAGTCGACGCTCGATACTCAGGAAAAAGGCAAGATGGATATACAGTCAGACAGTTACTGGTGCCATCGGAATTTAAACTCTTCGCTTGCTGCTAGAGATGGGGGCGGAGCACTTATGGGGGTGTCCATAGTGCTGGGATGTTGATTCCTAATTCAGCATTTAACATTTTAAAGTAGTACTTGTAATATCATGACGATAGCAGTGGGGCCACATTACCATGTACTGTTATTTAAAAAGAAAAAAACAAATTTGATATTTTCTAGGCATCTAATTTAAAACTTCTGGCACTAAAAGAGTGAAAAAAAATTATCAGATTGACTTCATTTTTATAACCAGCTTATCCAGAAACATAAGATTAAATTGAGTTTGAAAAAAAAAGATTTCCATGTATTGTTTTTCTGTTGAAGTGTTCTGTAGTTTTTATGTAATGTTTAAGGGATTTTGCCACATGACTAAATCCTCACTCACATTTTAGCTAGTAAGTTTTATGAGGGCTAAGAGACTGTTTTGATTTGGGCATATAGAGAGAAGGGCAGATAATGAATGGGAGTAGACCAGTAGACAGACCAAGAAGATGGTGGAAAGTAATATACAGGCAAATCTATCAGCACTTAACATTCACCAACTGTAAAGAGAAGGCCACTCACAGATAGGAATGGGGGCATGTAATGTTTCCTGAAGTGAACATCAAGGGTTCAGAACCCTGAAGAATAATAAGAGGTTTACATTTCACTGAGTTTTCAAAAGAAAAAGTCATAATGTCTTTTCAACTCTTTCAGTCTAAAACAGATCACGGTGTGTGATTGGATTTACTTATATCCATCAATTAACATAATATTGTGCCTGTACATTTTATGTTTAGTCAGAGAAAGCTTAAACACTCAATAACACATTTGTCTCCAATAAGGGATGTGCATTTGGGCTTTGTGGATGTAGTATACCCACGATTTAGTCGTTGTCACAGTTGACTCACTGGGGCATCAACTAAGATCTTCTGGGGTGGAAGGAGTTAAGTTGGACAGTATAATTCTTGTAAAATTTTCAGAATACCTAGTGTACGAATGAACTTTAAAAAAAAAAAACTATTTCATTTTGATTTATTTGGATTTAATTACTGCAACTTTTGTTTGGATATGCTAACCTTTGCATCTGTTTTCCTTGTATTCCCATACAGAAGCCCATGTGTCACACTTGGAGAACACAGATGAAGAAGAACTAAATAGACTGCTGCGGATCGTAGTTGATGTGGAGAACCTCTTTGTGTGTGTCCACCGTGAGGAAGATGCAGAAGCCAAACAAATCTACTTTTATCTTTTCAAAGTAATACCTCAGCCATTTGGCTCTTATTTTCTAATGGAGTATTTTGTGTATGTTGAGTTGATTCAAGAACCGACATCACAGCACTCGGGGCATTCCCGTAAGCGCTCCATTCCTATCTTCAGCAGCCAGTGCAGAGTTCCACTAATGGTGCTAGTAGCATTCTGATTAAACGTCTGTCTTGCCTTTCCTCTGAGCCTCAAGCATCTGCCAGAACCTCTCGTCACCCCCAGCTGCATCAATCTCACCAGACTGTGGTGATCCATCTGCTCCTCAGAACTGTACATGCTCTCCCACAAGGCACTAACCACGTCTGCCTTATCATGTATCAGTTTTTATGTATGTAACATAGGTTAATTTAGGATAACAACTTAAGGCTAATTTAGAAAACTAGACAATACTGTGAGTTCTAAGATCAAGAAAATAAATTGTGAAAGAGAATTTTCTTGTAAAGATTTAACTATGAAACATCATTATCAACATGAAGTGCCTTACTGACTAGTTTAGGCAACCATGCCTCTCTACAATCTGTGATCTCCAACAGCATGTATCAGTTCGTGTGAGACACCCATCCATGTCACGACAGAAGGCTGTCAAGAATCTTTTCATGTTGTCTTCCCTTGTCTCTCTTCACCAGTACCCTCATTATTAGCTGGGGAAGGGACTTAGGACATTACATCCACCAGCAGGCGTCGCCCCTACAACGACCTGCCTGCCTTCGTTAACGACTGTTCACCCAACAGCCATGCAATTCTTTGGCACGAAGGAGACACCTTGAACTTGGGTTTTGGACTGCCGACTCCCTAAAGATGTTATTTTATGTTTTGTTATCACACTTGATGTCACTGCACATTGGGCATACCCATGCATGCTCACTCCAAAGTACTTCTACTAATTGTCCCCATGAGAAGCTGGTTATATCGTCTCCTTTCTCGGCCCCGAAGACGGCAAAGACGTGCATCACCATGCTTAACTCCCATGTCACGCAATCGTGCCAGTGTTGGGGATTCCTGATTATCCACTAGCCCAGTCCGTACAGCGTTGACGATATCTGCTCTGTCCATACTTTTTCCCGCAATCATTAGTGCAGTGCTTGCCAGTTGGTCCGCTCGCTAATTTCCCTTTACGCCCACATGACCCGGTGTGTTGATCCAGATTACGGAGGTTAAGTGCAATTTCCGAATGCTTTCTATCCATTCAGAGCGCATACTGCCTGTTGCTATCTTCTGAAGCATATTCATTGAGTCTGAGACAATTACTGCCTGTGTGGCGGTTTGCTCGGATACCCACGCTAAAGCTCTAGAAGCAGCGGCTATTTCCATTGTCATGCTTGACGTGGTTGTCTGGTAAGCGCCGCTGTCCTCATGTATTGTTTTCCCCCTTCTTTGCGCTGTGTATGCCCATGCTGACCTTGATCCGCGCTTCACGGATCCATCTGTGTAGATGATGATATCTTCTGGATCTGAATGCTGATCTATTAGTTCCCTTACTTCTGTGTCTACGGCCGCAGGAATTTGATCCCTGCAGTACCTTCCGAGTGTGATGACAACCTTAGAGATGCCATGCATGTCTACTGGTATATTCGTCCATTCTTTTCCATGACTGATCACGTCTAGGTCACATACCTGCTGGATTAAATCCTCGGCCTTTGCCATCCAAGAGCGGCCTCTTTTGAGACGCGTTCCTTTTGTGTCGTGTATAGCTTTGTGCAGTGGGTGGTTAACGTCTGCCGATACCCTCATGTAAGCCTTGACCTGTGCCACTTTGTATCTGCTAGTCATAGTCGGCAGACCCAGGACATAACGCATGGCGTTGCAGGAGGTGTCTTTTCTGCAGCCGAGTATGAGTCTCATGGCCTCATTTTGTACTTGGTCCAGTCTTTCTAGCTGGGTTTTGCTGACAGTGAGGAGGGCAAGACCATAGTCAATGACGCTAAGCACAAGCCCTTGATAGAGAAGGAAAAGTAGGCGTTGTTCAATATCAGCTGCTGCTAGCACCTTGAGTGCTGTCAAACCTTTCCTGGCTCTAAGTATGACGTTGTCTACGTGGAATTTGTATGACAAGCATCTGTCAAATGTAATGCCCAGGTATTTCATGATGTCCGTTTTCTCGATGTCCACACCACAGATGCTTACGACTGGCGTTGGTGTACTAACGATGTGGGTATTCAGAGAGAACCATGTTAAGGAGGCTTTGGACGGGTTCACCTGAGCTCTTGATTCCTGGCACCACTCACTAAGTCTGTCTAGTTCGTGTTGTAGTGTGGTTGTACTTTCCTGCCTGTTTTTACCTCGACGGTAAACAAGGATATCATCTGCATACGACATTGTTCTGCCTAGGCCTACGCTTTGTGCACTCGTGACACCTGCTGTGTACACATTGAAGAGCGCAGGCGACAATGGTGATCCCTTGTGCAGACCCATTACCACGCGTTGAGGTTCGGATGCCCATTCACCACATCGGAGCGACACTGTTCTTTCAAATAGCGCTGCTGCGATCCAGTTGACCAATTTTGTTTCTGTCTGCATATCCAACAGCAGTCTGATGAGCATGTTGTATGGGACGCTGTTGTACGCATCTTCTAAGTCAATATGGCTGCATCAGTTTCTATTCCCTCCTGGAAACCCTCATATGTGTTGTAGGCAAATACTGCAGCATTGCACCATGTATCTCTTCCTGGTCAGTACCTACCTAGTGTAGCGGGGAGTAGGCCACCTGACTCCAATGTTTGGGTTAACGTTCTGGCCACGATTTTTTCCATGAGTTTTCCTACAGTGTTCTGGAGTGTGATGATTCTGTAGCCATTTATTCTTGTGTGGTATTTTCCTGGCTTAGGAACCGGTCTGAGATAGCTGTGGAGCCAGTCATCAGGAATAATGCCAGTTTTCATAGTGTTGTTAAAAATCATGGATAGTTCATCAAGAATGGACACTGACATTGGATAGGACACATGTTGAGAAAAACTGAGAACAGTGTAACTAGAATCTCTCTGCACTGGAATCCACAGGGGCATAGAAATAAAGGAAGATAAAAAAAAACAGATGGAGAAGGGAGCAAGAAAGTGAAGTTAAAAAGATTGGGAGGACATGGGGAGAGCTGCATGTGGTAGCGAAAGATAGAACGACTTGGCGTGAGTTGGATGAGGGCATATGCTCTAAAAGTTTGACAAATCTTAATATCTGAGAGCCTTGTTTATAGCCTTTTGTGTGTGTTTGCATGATTTCAAATCATTGTTATCAACTCCCTGGAAGTCGGAGTACATCTGTCGGTGAGGCAGGGAACCGCAAACAAATAAGCCTGTAAAACAGATGTACATGCAAAACTCAGGTCCAGGTAAAAGCCAAAAGTCCAAATGGACGAACTACCGGAATCTTTCACAGGAATTCACAACCGGTGATCAATGAAGAAGAAGAAGAATTGTTACCAACATAATTTGCAGTTTACTTGATTTTGATGCTGTAAATTATTGTCTCTTTCTGCAGTTGCTCAGAAAATGTATTTTGAACACCAGTCAGCCTTCAATCGAAGGATCATTGGGAACACCACCATTTGAAAAACCCAGCATAGCCAAAGTAAGTCAGTGGACTTTTTAAACTGTTTTGCATGTTTAGAAAGGTGGTGTTTCAGGGAGGGGAGGTCATGGGAAATATTAGATTATATGTGTGTATATCACAAACGCCTCAAAAGGAATGTTCCAAACACCATCATATGGGTGTCCTGGTTATATCATTCTATGCCTTAGAACAGGACACAGTCGACTTTGCAGCCACATGTACACAAAATTTTAATTCGATGAATCAGCCCTGTGTACATGTGGATTGGCACCTGAGACAGCAGATCATATCCTCCAAGACCCCCGTGTGGGTTCCGGGGCCCTATTGTGGGAAAAACAAGAATAGACCCACTGCCTCCCCAAAAGCATGTCGTAAGAGTCGACTAACTGGGGAGCTTCCTTTGAAGTCGGAGTGCATCTGCCTGAGAGGCAAGGAACCAGCAGTCTGCATTCAATTGAATCAGATCTGTGAAACTGATGCACACGCAACACTCAGGTTCTGGAGCAGGACTGCAGTCCAGAAGTGGACGAACAACCAGAACTTTACACCAGAGTGTACAGCTGGTGAACGCAAAGAAGAAGAAAGAAGATATCCTCCAAGAGAAACATAGATGCAAGCCAAACTTTACGGGTCACTGAGTGAATTACAAAAGACAGTGAAGTTCATACTAGAGACAGTGAAGTTCATACTAGAGACAACATTGCATAGATAATTTATTTCAAGTAAACAAAAGAAGGAGAAGGATGTCATGGTGCATGGAGGAAGTAAATCAGTAAGAGAATAGGGATAAAGAAAAAAGTTATTGCAGAAACGTTCTTTTGTCACAAGAAGCTGCAAAACCAACACTTCATGTTGGGCCCCATTTCCCATAAATTTCATTTTTTCAGACTACGAGATGCATAGTTAATGCTTAGTGGCTGTTTTTGGGCATGCACAAACATTTAGGAATTTCGGATATGAAAATGTTAGCTAAAAAAAAAATTTATATCATGGGGTTTTTAGTCAGGTTGACACCAAATTTGTCACCAACCTCAGTAATGGAGGTCAAAGGGTCACTGCATTAATAACCTGATGCATGTTTTTTTTAGGCCTCAGGAAATGTATTCCATGTAATACGAGGGGAAGTCAATGAATAAGTCACAAATGGTTATAGGATGGCAAGAAAATATAGTTGGTAATTTCTAAAGGTGTCATTAGGTGACATCAACATCAAACTGTATGTCTCCATTTGTTAGGTGGCGCTAGGTGTTGCATGCACATTCGTAACACAGAAACAAAATGGCGAGCGTACTTACAGAGTGTACCTTACCCTCAAAGAACAACCTGCTGATGTGCATTTTTTTTTTTTTTGAAGTGGAGGGGGGGTGGGGGGGGGATAAAAGGACTGCTTGCTAAGGACATTCATGAGAAAACGCTTTCTGTTTATGTTGACAAATGTTTATCCCGCAAAGCGATGCATAGCTGGGGTAAAAAAATAAATTCAAGGACGCTCCTACATTGTCGATAAAGTCAGATCTAGTCGTCCCATTTACTTTTTCGTCTTTTGGATAATAAATTGTGTTTATGCAATTTTTTTCAATAACGTGTAAAATGGTTGTTTTCTAAGGATTTTGTTTTCAGGAATATCTTAAAAATAGGAAGTACAAGAGCTTAGCTTTGTGTTTTTCTAGTTCACCTGGGTAAACGGGTTAAATTCTTAGGTTCACTAACCTTCTGTCCTACATCACTCCAAAAGTGGTAAATACCGACCTAAAGACAGTTTACTGTGCATCTGCTATTTGTTATTGTTCGAAGTGAGCATTACTGTCATCCACACCATAATTTTTAAATTTCTTTTTAGGGTGTAACCAATTTTGTGGTGTTCAAGTTTGGTACCTTGGCACAAAAAGAATGGCAGACGATGTACGACCTGGCAAAAATGTTCTTACATTGTCTCAATCATTGGAAGTTGTGGCCTCCTGCCAGTAGAGGCCAGCAGCTGGATCAGAAGGATGAGAATGACTACAAACTGAACTACACAAGGTTATAGAGGTTTTACTTTGAGAATCAATTGCTCTAGGAGTTCTGTCTTATCTGTTAGTTGTTGCTGTGTCTTTTCATATGTACTGAGAATTAACTGTTTACATTCATTAACTCTATACAGATTATATATCTATTTCTTTAGAACTGTCTTATTTATTTTTCTCTCCAACCATGAAATCTGTTTTGTTCTTGGTGAATTGATTAAATGAGTCTTGATTAAATTAAAAGTAAAACAAATAAGTAGAAGACCCTTTTCCACACTTTCATGCATATTTGGTTAGACCTATATTTTATAGACCAATCAGCACTTACTGGGTGATGTGATTAACATCACACCACCTGCCTTTGCTTCCCAGGATTTTACCTGGTACCCATTGAAGGCTGGGTCAGCCTCAGAGACGTAATTTTAGAGAAAAATCTGGCTTCTTCAGAACCTGAACTTACAACCTTTCAGATCCATAGGTGAGTTGTCTAACCACTGCACAAGGGCAGCTCTGCCTTGATTATGGGTAGTATGGTATTCTGTGCAGGACTTACTCTTACGTTACCAGGGATGCAGAAATTCTATGAAAGCTGGAAAATTTAACATGTATTAACGATGGTTTGTTGCCAGGTGGTTGTGTTTCTGCCATGTTCCTGCCTTCTGTGACAGTTTGCCACGCTATGAAACCACCCTCATCTTCGGCCAGACTCTGCTGCGTTCAGTTTTTCAAACAATGAGGCGGACAGCTGCTGGACAAGTTTCGGGCAGAGAAAGACAAAATGCCGCCAGATAAAAAAACATTAGTTCTCACACATTTTCCAAGGTAATTATTTGAATTTAATTGTTCTTGCTGTTTGATTAAATTGGACTCAAATATTCTTCAGCCCATTCAGAAACCCATCACAGTATACATGACACTGAAATGACCAATTGCCCTACATGGTTATGAAACCTGAAGTACAATTTGAAGAGACAGAGTCTTATTACAAACTTCTAGAATGATCTTATGATGTATCTATAGACCCATCAAAGATGCAGACAGCAGAGAATGGAAAGTGAGAAGCAAGAAACAAATTCATAGTCTGTCTACATCAGCACTTAGAGTCACCATCTAGAAAGAGATGGCCGATCACAGAAATGAATGGAGGCATGTGCTGTCTCAAATCTCGTCCTCCTCTGGGGGACACTTATTCTTGGAAACTGTTTTGATTGATTACTATAGTATAATAGAAAAATCACTTTAAGTTTAAAAATACTGAATTAAGCAGTAAATTGTTTTAGTGTGTAGTGTTTATCTATCGACACCATTTTTTTATAGTATAAAATATTCTGCTAATTTTTCATTGGGTTTCAACTGCTGCGGTGCATCTGCAGGTTTCTCACTATGCTGGAACAGGAGGTTTATGGGAATAATTCTCCAATTTGGGATCCAGATTTTGCTCAGAACACGGCCAATTTGCCAACTCCTTCCCCTGCAGGTAAGGTTGTGACATCAAAATTTCACTCTACATTTCTTTTTTTTTTCTTCTTAGAAGTATATTATACACTGTTAGCTTTTCTTTTAAAACTAAGGGTCTGATAGTTGTTTCTATTTTTTGTAACAATTTTTTCCTCATTTTCTTTAAAGTAATGAATGTTGCATGACTTCAGTACGGATGGGAAAGATTTCAAATAATAAAGGAATATTTGTTAAGCAAGAATCTGCCATTAGATATTAAAGAGAGTGAATTCAGAGCACTTGAAAGACATTTGACAAGAATGTGTTTTATCTTATCTCTTCAGTTTTAAGGTGAGACAGTTTAAGAAACATCATGTATCTTGAGGAATCAGATGCTGCGTGGTTTCAAGGCATGACGTCCGCCTCGAGTATTAGATTTCCCAGGTTAAAGCCCCGGTGAAGGCTGGGATTTTTTCACAAGGACTTCTAGTAATTTCCCTTGGTCTCTGGGTAGTAAGATCGGACGCCCGTGTGTATTGTTGCGCACGTTAAAAAAAATCCCTTGGCAGTTGGAAATCCAAAAGAGTTGCCTAATGGCGCTCCCCGGGCAAAATTTAGAGTTGAAAATCTGCTAAAATTATTTCAGGATCCCCGCCAATGCTTTGGAATGGAGTTCGTGCACTGCACTGAGATTCTTCGGACTTAGGCTTGAGTCAGAAGTAGAACGGAGCACTTATGGACTACTACTACCCTTGTGCCATGATTTTGATCCATCGTCTAAAGCTAAATCTTAAGGAAGCTAAAAGTTAAAGGTTAAAATATTCGATGTTCCAAGAGACACAATTGTCACTGTTCTAATTGTATAGTCTGCATTTGAATTAATTATGTGTTGTCTTGAGAACAAAAGTTAAATGCCTTTGGAAACAAATTCCTGAAGAAAATATTGAACACAAAATGGGATGAATTCAAGAGGAGTGAAGAAATAAGAGAAATGTCGGGCAACCACTGGTAACAGCAGTTATAAGAAAGAAGATGGCGCTATGTTGGACACTTCCTGAGAAGAAATGAGCAGAGAATCACCAAATGTCCTAAATCCCTTCCCCAGCTAATAGTAGGGTACTGCTGGGGTGACAGTTTATTAACCCTCACATAATGCTTCAGGTCCAAATGAACACTAGGCACTGCCATTGTTTTGAGCTGAGGCAAATTTTTTTTGCTTTTGCGAGACTGTGGTTGTTGCTTTTTTGCTCCATTTGTAGACTGGAAGTATATAGTTTTCGTTACCCAGCTTCTGAGTTGAGTGCATGGCATGACACTGTGAGCTGCCGATTTCATTTGGAATGTTTTTCGACTGACCAACGTGGTGGTGTGATTTGTAGATTCAGAAAATGGCGCGATGCCGGTTGTCGCAATATTGGTGGGGCCATTATGTGATTAAAATTGATCGCGTGTACAACTGCTGATCTTTTGGTGACTTCTGCTACCATCAATGATGAACTGCGTTTCTAACATCAGACTGTTTGTGTTAGCACTTCAGATGGCTACCATATGCTTTTAATGCCAGTGTATGCTAGATTTGCTGAGACAGCAGTTTGTTAATCTTTTCACAAGGGACTGTGATAAACATTCTGTGTTTTTTTCGTTGGCACAGGAGCGGAGCAAAGATGGGGTGACCCGTTTGCTATGAAGCTGAAATTAAAATTACCAGATTACCAGGGAATCACCAGACAGGCACTGAAATGGGAAAAAGCGGGGTTGAGGAAGCGAGGACGTCTAAAAGAAACCCCAAGATGGATGTTGATGAGAGAGGCCAAAGGTGCTGACAGGATTCTTTCCTTGATATCAAAGGGATTGCACAGGATAGAACAAAATGGAGGAATAGACTTTGAACCCTATGGGACTTATAATAGCACAACAGGACAATTATGATAATGTGCCATCTTCACAATAAAGTTTTGCTACAGTGCATCTAAAACTGTCTTTAGGAATATTATATGGTGAGGCTCCCAATTTCTTCCATGGAGCAACTCTTATACGACTGATGATAATGAAATGTTTATTGTGTATTCAGCCAGCCCTGGTGCAGCAGCAGGCGTTAGTGGTCTGAGCCGGTTCACATCCTCAACTGTGGGAACCGATGCTTCTGGAGCTTTGAATATCAGTCATGGCCTTCTTGCTGGTGGTCGGCAGCAGTCGACTCGATCACAGGAGCCTGCAGGTTAGTCTCCACCATTGAGATCTTGTTCATTGAGTCTTCTGTATTTCTTGTATTTGTTGGACTAGTCAGCTCGATCACAGGAGCCTGCAGGTTAGTCTCCACCACTGAGATCTTATTCATTGTCTTCTGTATTTGTTGGACTAGTCAACTCGATCACAGGAGCCTGCAGGTTAGTCTCCACCACTGAGATCTTGTTCATTGTCTTCTATATTTCTTGTATTTGTTGGACTAGTCAACTCAATCACAGGAGCCTGCAGGTTAGACTCCACCAGTGAGATCTTTTTCATTGTCTTCTATATTTCTTGTATTATTTGGACTAGTCAACTCAATCACAGGAGCCTGCAGGTTAGTCTCCGCCACTGAGATCTTGTTCATTGTCTTCTATATTTCTTGTATTATTTTGACTAGTCAACTTAATCACAGGAGCCTGCAGGTTAGTCTCCACCACTGAGATCTTATTCATTGAGTCTTGTATTTGTTGGACTAGTCAACTTGATCACAGAAGCCTACAGTTTAGTGGCCACCATTGAGATCTTGATATCATTGTCTTTTGTATTTCTTGTATTTGTTGCTCTAGTTGACACAATCACAAGCGCCTACAGTTTAATGGCCAACATTTAGATTTTGATATCATTGAGTGGTACTAGTCACAATTCTGCCCACACGAGTCCGTGTCTCTCCAGGGCCGCAAGATTTTCTGTCGGCTTCATTCCTGAACTGTGACCTTTGCCACAGGCTGATGTATGTTCTAGGGATGTTAGCATATACCTTTCTTCCTACACACTGTGTGGAAAATCGTTTCAGGCCTGATACAGTGACATTGCGCGTGTCTTCCCTAGTCCGCGTCAACCATTTTTTCATTATTGATCCACATAGTCAACCATATTTTTTCACATCATTACTGTTCCATGTGGGCACATTTTTTGTTTGACTACTGTTCCATGTGGGCAAATTTTTTGTTTGACTACTGTTCCATGTGGGCACATTTTTTGTTTGACTACTGTTCCATGTGGGCACATTTTTGTTTGACTACTGTTCCATGTGGGCACATTTTTTGTTTGACTACTGTTCCATGTGGGCACATTTTTTGTTTGACTACTGTTCCATGTGGGCACATTTTTTGTTTGACTACTGTTCCATGTGGGCACATTTTTTGTTTGACTACTGTTCCATGTGGGCACATTTTTTGTTTGACTACTGTTCCATGTGGGCACATTTTTTTTTTGACTACTGTCCCATGTAGTCAGCCCTTTTTTCCATTATGTCTGTTGCATATGAGTCTGCAGAACTTACAATTCTGTTTCAGAGAAAAGAAAAGCGGATGAAGCTGGACTTAGTGATGGAGCTAAAAGGCCAAGGATCGATGGAGATGTTTCAAAAGAGATGCTGCAAGAAGTCCTGGCAGAAATAAACTCTGACGGCCCAACAGACACCACCATGGTGGGACCAGAAGTAAGTTAGTTTTTTGCAAGTTACAGCGAGATTTTACATCACTGTACATTTAGATTCATAACCAAAGAATCCTGACTGTTGAAAGGATTCTGTACACATATTCAGTTTCAGTGTTTGATGGAAGAACTCGGATCACTTTATTTACTGCTACCAGAAACTTCTGTGACAAGCTAGATTTTGTGAGGACCCTTTGGAAGCGAGTGAACAGTGAGGAGGCGCAGATAGATTAATATGGTCTGAGGAGAAAAGCGCTGCAAGGAGTTACCAGGGGATCTGGCCAATGCTCAAGAGTAAGACGAGATGGATACACAGTCAGACAGTTACTGGTGCCATCAGAATTGGAACTCTTTGCTTGCTGCTGAAAATAGGGACGGAGCTCTCATGGGAGTGTCCCGAGTGCTATGATGTCGATACTTAACATTCAGCAGCTGTCTTGCATCTTGCACTATACATAAATAAATTGCTCTTGAACCGTAGAGACTACTGAAACGAAATGATGAAACAAATCTACATGTAATATTTTGCACTCAAAGATGCAGCAAACAGAAGTAAAGATATGAGGGTACTCAGACTACATAAAAATCAGAAACTAGTCTTACAATACTGGGAAAAGAACCTGCCACCTGGAGATAACAAGAATGCCTCACCGCAGGAACATGTGTCCTTCAGTCTCTGACCAACTAGACACCACTACTATACCAGAAACATCTATGACAGCCATCTTGTGAGGCCATCTCTACCACTACCAGAAACGTCATCACGTCATTTATAGCAGCTCAACAAAGTGAAAACATGTCTTAGAGCATGGGTTCCAAATCCGTATTGTTGCAAAGGGTTTTCTGTGAGGTCTCCGGGTAGGGGTGAGGTATTTAAATTGAAAAAAAAATGTACGTCATCAGGTCCTACGCTAAGAAAAATCAATTTGAATATTTTCACATATGCCCTATTAAAAAACCTATTTATAATGTATTGTTTCTAAATTCTGTAAAATGATCTCAATCTGCTTGATAGAGCATCTGCCCCACGCATGCAGCCAGGGACGAACAGGCTAGGCAGGAGGAGAAGGATGGGAAAATTGACTTCCACATCATCAACAACTCTTTGAGTCACCGACCAAGCAACCAGGTTTTTCTGTGGCTGATTGAAGTGCAGAATCTGTTTTCTCACCAGTTGCCTCGCATGCCAAAGGAGTACATTACACGTTTAGTGTTTGATCCGTAAGTTGGTGTCATTTCTTATTTTATTGTTACTTTGAGTAATCTTTAAAGTATTTCATATAGTTCTGTGGCTTAAAGGTTAGTGAAATAGTTTCACAATGCAATGTTTCAAGATTACCAGGTGTTGATTCCCACATGGGCGATTTTAGAAGACTGGTCCTCATATCTTTCAGACAGTGGTATGATAGTCACACCCTGGAAAAGATTGGGCCTCACAACATATTTCTATAGTTAGCAGTGGATAAATAACAGCCAGTCTCCATTGTGGGGACAACCTGATTTTTTTTGAGGTTCATTTCATCTACTCGGTTATTACTCTGCTTTATTTTTTTTTTCATTGCGACACTGTTAGCATAGTGTTAATATGGAAATATTGTGGTATCTTGTTACTTGTCCGCTTTGGAATTCGTCTAACTTGGTATGCATCCTTTTTAGATGCAAAAAATGTTGCTAAATATATGACCTTTGTTTGGAATGTAACTCATGTGCTAGAACTTGTATGAGCCAAAATGAGTTGCGAAGCAGCACGCTACCCTTGTTTACCTCTCTCATTAATCAAGTAAATGTTTGTCAAATGGATGGATGTCAGAAACTTTTGCAGAAAAGTACCACCCAAACTAGCTGCAGTAGCATTGTGTAAATGACCAGCATAACATTTCTGAAATACCTTGAATAGAAGGCAGAAGCAAAGTTCTTTGGGCAGACCTTTAGTAAAAGTCCAACATAGTGGGCCCCAACCAGGTCAAGTAGGGAAAAGAGACTGCCCCCCCCCCCCCCCCCCACTCTTTTCCCTCCCAACAACAAACACAAAATTTTACCAGATTTCAGATTCTTAAATTTTTTTTTTCTTCACACAATAACATCTTCTCCTTCCTTCTCAGCACCATCCTAGTAGGCACATTAATCTTCTCAGCAAGATGAGATTAGTTTTTCATTTATTTCATCTAATTGCTTTTGTATTTATGTATTTTACTATTCAGCAGTGTTTAAATTATTTTTTGTTTCATTTCCATTGATGTATAATATGCCAATAACAAAAGATTTATTTTTCATGCCAACCGATTATTCATTCTTTCTTTGTTTTCTATGGGAAAATTTGTTTGGTATCATTCATTCTTATAGGGACAGCTGGCATTTTGTTTTATGGTTTACAGCTAGGCATCAATATCTGCCCCTTTTGCGCAACACGTCTGAATTCAGCAAACCTAATAAATGGCCCTTTAGGGGTAGTAGGTCTATCCCCTGCCATCCCCCAGAAGGAGCACCAGATTCCACACAGGATGTAAGTTGGTTAAGACTTTTGCAGCATTAGGAGATGAAAAGACAGAAAAAAAGAGATATAGTATTTCACTTGTTTTTACACAGACAGGAGATCAGTTAAGTAGCTCACTGGATATTAAACCTTTAATCTAAAACTGCCAGAGTTTTCTTATACCATGGAAGCAAGTATTATTGTTGCTGACTATTATCAATTTTCAGGAAGCACAAGTGCTTGGTTCTCATCAAACAGAACCACGTGATTGGTGGCATCTGTTTCCGCATGTTTCCTGCCCAGTGTTTCACAGAGATTGTTTTCTGTGCTGTCACCTCTAGTGAGCAAGTTAAGGTCAGAATTGCAGTGTTTAAAAATGTATTGTTTTCAAGTGATGTGAAAAGAACAAATTAAGTTTTATGTAGTTTTATAATTGCAGAATGTGGGAATAATTATTTGTTAAATATAGACACGCGCCCGGGGATCAGAAGGTTATGGGTTCGGATCCTGATGGAGCCAGAGTTTTTAAAGAAAAAGACCTTGGCTTCCAGGTCTACCCAGCCTTAAGTGGGTACCAGGTGCAGTCCTGGGAAATAAAGGCGGCTGGTACGATGCTTACATCACACATCTAGTGCCAATTAGTCAATAAAATACAGGTCTAGCCCTATATGCCCAGTACGCCTGAAAGCGTGGAAAAGGGTCTTTTATGTTAAATAAGTTGAAATTAAAAGTAATTTTTAACAGATCATAGTTGATTAAATTTATGTCCAATTTGGTGGACTTTTGACTAATGTTAGTTGCCTAATGTTAGTTTGTGGGGGGATAGACCCACTGCCCCCCCCCCACCCCCCTTTTCCCTCCCTCCAAACAAGCACAAATAAGCTAGGTGTGGAAAACAGATGTGCATGTAAAATTTAAATTCTGGGAAAAGACCACAGTCTAGAAAGTGACCACCATGACACTAACGGGTCAAGGGTAATGTGATGTGGAATGTTGTGATAATGTGTGTTCCCTTCACTGTTGTCTGTGGCAGGGATACGGTACCACCCTGATGAATCACCTCAAAGATTACCATCTGCTACACAACATTACCCACTTTCTGACATTCGCTGATGAATTTGCTACTGGCTACTTCAAGAAACAAGTAAGACAACAATATACTTGAGTGTTTATTTCTGTTTTAATAATACGACCAGCATTAGTTTTAAAGTAATTATGACAAGGAGGTAAAAAAATGAATTCCTGCACATCATGGAGAACCACTTTTAACATATGATTGCATATACTGGACAGTTAGTTGAAAAGTAAGAGTGTCTGAGCATGAAATATGGTTTAAAAAAGAAATGTGAAAATGCCATGAAGGATGAGAATTAGTATTTTAAATACTGGAATATTTGGGGGCAGTCGTAACAGCAGATGGATATTGCATAAGACAGATTAAGTGGAGAGTATGCATTTCAGAAGATGATAATATGCTGTCAGCGACTGCCAGAGAGTACAGGGATGTTATATTGAACTTGATTGATGTAAGTGTGGCAATGAGTCTGTTGTCAGTCCCTGACAAAGAGTACAGAGATGCTATATTGAATTTGATTGATGTAAGTGTGGCAATGAGTCTGTGTTGTCAGCCCCTGACAGAGAGTACATAGATGTTATATTGAACTTGATTGATCTAAGTGTGGCAATGAGTCTGTGTTGTCAGCCCCTGACAGAAAGTACAGAGATGCTATATTGAACTTGATTGATGTAAGTGTGGCAGTGTGTCTGTGTTGTCAGCAACTGTCAGAAAGTACAGAGATGCTATATTTAACTTGATTGATGTAAGTGTGGCAATGAGTCTGTGTTGTCAGCCCCTGACAGAAAGTACAGGGATGTTATATTGAACTTGAGAATAAAATCCTCACATGCACAGTCGTGGCGACAGAACAGCCATCCGGCCATAAATCCTCAGGCTCAAAGACTCCCTGCCTACACCACAAAAGTGGTATCATAAAAGCAGTAATTGGCAGTTTTTTTATATATATATATATATATATATATATATATATATATATATATATATAACAAGGAGTTTAAAAAAAAATTATTTTTGTAGTATTATAATTGACAAGGGGGCAGCTGAAAATTAGGATCTCTGTAAATCTGTAGTAGAGGAGACACTGAGAGGATGGTGATGGGTGGTCTAAGGTAGTGTCATGGAGGAATATTGCCAATTGAATTCAACCAGAACAGCTTCTTCTGTTCATTCTTCCTGCCAGTGATTTTCAAATAAGAAAGCCAGAGGCCTCTGTGTTTTGCACGCATGTCTTTCACAATTCCATGCAGCTTGGGATCTCTCTACTCCAGGTGGAGAGCATTGTAGCACATGTTCAGTATTCTGTGTTGCCTGTCCACATGGGCAGATTTCAGGGGCAGTCCCAATCCTGAATGTCTTGTACACAAGGCTGCAGGATCTGTTGTCCAGCAGGCCATCCTCCAAATGTAATGGCAGGAAGTGAGATCTGTGGAGAGACATGACCATTTTTTGTTTGCATTCTGGCATTGTACATTATGTTGATGTATGGATTGAGGTCGTGGACATCTGCAGTTGTTTGAGTGCTGTGCATTTTTTTAAATGCACTGTATTGTAAACAAACCTGAATGTATGGATTGGAGAGTTCAAGAATGTTTCTGTGTGCTAGGAAACAGAAACTTTAGAAGCCACGAAATTAAAACAGAAAAGTGAAGTTTTGCAGGTTGCTATTCGATTTCAAAGTTATTTGATTACCGTAACTGTATTTTGTTGATTTTCTTCATAGGGTTTTTCCAAGGACATTAAACTGCCTCGGTCGCAGTATTTAGGCTACATTAAAGATTATGAAGGGGCAACACTGATGGGCTGTGAACTGTGCCCACGAATAAATTACACAGATTTCTCCAGGGTTATTCGCAAGCAGAAAGAGGTAAAAGATCATTTTTAATGAATAAATCTGCATATGATCTTTGTTTTACATAGTTTTTAATCACTTTTTTTAAATATCAGGTTTATTCCTTTTCTTCTCTGCGTTCACCGGCTGTAAACTCTAGTGGAAAGTTCTGATTGTTCATCCAGTTCTGAACTTTGATCTTGTTCCAGACATTTAGTTTTGTGTGCACATCCATTTTACAGATCTGGCTTTTTCCTGTCCAGACTGTTGGTTCTTTGCCTATCAGGCAGATGCACTCTGACTTTGAAGGAAATGTTTATACTAATGCACATGCTTTTTCTGTAGGTTGTCAAACTTGCTCATGAAGTTGTGGGATTTTAGTCAGCCCTAGGTGTTGCGAATGAACCTCATAATTATAATGTACTGGATTTAATCCCAGCTGCAAATGATTTGTCAGTAGACCGGCTTGTATTGGTATTTACAGCTATATCAGGAGCTGACTGTTTAGTAAGCCCTGGCAAACTACTGAATCAAAAATTGCCTAGTAGAACCACAAACAGCTAACAAGTTTAGGGTTGGTTCTGAAACATCCTGTAAAGAATACGCAACTGCATTTTTTTTAAAGTCAAATTATCCATTGTAGACTACCGGTTACTTGATAACTTTAAGGTGTCCCAGTATAACGGTTGTGTTCTTGGAGAGTGTTTTTTGGGTTTCCTCTTGTTGGATCCTCATTCGGATAGTCTCTCATCTAGTCACTTGGTATCTTTCAGAATGCATTCCTAAAGAGTGATTTAAAAAAAAAATGAAAACATGAAACTGGTTAAATCTGGTTTAAAAACACCTGATTTGAGGAAATTCAAAATGTGTGAGGGAATATATTTGTGTAAAGGGCGCTTTCCCATTACTGGAGAAATTTTTGGTATATGGCTCCAGTCTGATGACTAACATATATCATTCTGTACATTTTTGTAACTTAATATTTGATTGAGATATATTCTTTACATATTTCTATGTTAACCACATATCTTATGTATGTATGTATGTATGTATGTATTTCTCTAATCAAAGATGCCTTTATTTCCTTGACAGATCATTAAAAAGATTGCAGCAAGGAGAAGTATTGAAACGGAGAAAGTCTACAGTGGGGTTGGTTTGTTCAAAGAAGGCGTCAAGCTGCCCCTCCCTCTTGAGTCTATACCAGGATTGGTAGAGTCAGGATGGAAACCACCAGTCAAGTTAGTCATATTTTTGTTTATTCTTGTCTTCAGTTGAGTAGGACTGTTGCATTTCTGATGTTAGCCAGATAAAGCTGAGCTTTTGTGTTTGTTTTGGTATGGTCTTTTAGTCAGCACCTGTGGCTTGGGCATTGCGAGCCCGCTTCGTAATGCTGGGGTGCTGGGTTCGATCCCTTTGCTTTGTTTTGCATTGGTTTTGACAGTGGTACCAAGACCTGACCATTCAGAAAGCAGTGGCAAACTACTAAACGTAAAATTTGCCTAGAAAAACCACAGCAGCCAAAAAATACTGGAATTGGTTCTGCAACGTCCTGTAAAGGATATGAAACTAACTTTTGACCTTTTATCATTTTAATCATATTTTACCTTTTTATATAAAAATTATTACCGTTCATTATATAATAATTCTGTTATATCCAGATTTAGCCAGTGTACTTATTAAAATTTAATGGCTACAGTGAATTTAATTTACAATAGTTTATAATTAGAATGTTAGTCAGGTAAAAGTAAAATATTCCACATTTGGGAAATGGCATTAGGCCGCTGTTTTCTATAAACAGCAGACAAACTGTGGTGTAAACAATGTTACACTGACCATATGTCACCATGTGTTTTTCATGTGCAATGCCTTTCATTTGTGCAGCGGTTGGGTCATGGTATTCAGTGTTCAGTATGGCCGGTAGCTGATTCACGTGCGAGCTGGTGAAAAACCTTGTGTAATAATTCTACATGTGTATAGTCAACTTATCATGCCCGACTACTTCCATCAACGACAAACTGCATTTCTTGTGACGACTGTTAGCTTCGGTGCCTCTAGCAACCGCTGTGAACATTTACTGCATGCGCATTGTGCACTATTTTTTTTGGTTTTCAAATTGGACAGTGAGGGACATTTTATTTGATTGTCTCTGGCACAGGAACAGAGCAAATATGGAAAAATCTGACTGCAGTGAAGATGAGACCCTGACTAAGACGAAGACACCAAGGAAATAAATCTCTTTTGTTATTTGAACCTAGGACGTTCCCGGTGTTGATTTCGGGGTCATTTTTGTAGGGGAGGGGAAAGGAGGGAAAATTGGCCCACTGCCCCTTAACAAGTATGCTGTAAAAGGCGACTAATTGGGGCTTTGCTGAAATCAGATGTTTTCTGCTGAAAGCTGTGAATATCACAAACAGCTGTAAACCACACCACAACACAACATGCCAACAACTCTTTCTAGGCGGAATGCAGAACAGTAAGAAGAAAGTGAATAGATAAGATGGCTTAATTACAAAGAGACAATCTAATTGTTAGACGGTGGCCATTAAACAACAAGAGTCACAGGATCAAGAGTTTTCACATGACTGACATTACAAGCACCCACACATCTATGCTGACTGCAGTTAAGATGGGTTGACTATGTTACCACACATCTATGCCTACTGCAGTTGAGATGGGTTGACTATCTTATCACACATCTATGCTGACTGCAGTTAAGATGGGTTGACTATGTTATCACACATCTATGCTGACTGCAGTTAAGATGGGTTGACTATGTTATCACACATCTATGCTGACTGCAGTTAAGATGGGTTGACTATGTTACCACACATCTATGCTGACTGCAGTTAAGATGGGTTGACTATGTTATCACACATCTATGCTGACTGCAGTTAAGATGGGTTGACTATGTTATCACACATCTATGCTGACTGCAGTTAAGATGGGTTGACTATCTTATCACACATCTGTGCAGACTGCAGTTGAGATGGGTTGACTATCTTATCACACATCTGTGCAGACTGCAGTTGAGATGGGTTGACTATGTTATCACACATCTATGCTGACTGCAGTTAAGATGGGTTGACTATCTCACTACACATCCATACAGACTGCAGTTGAGATGGGTTGACTATCTTATCACACATCTGTGCAGACTGCAGTTGAGATGGGTTGACTATCTTATCACACATCTGTGCTAACTCCAGTTGAGATGGGTTGACTATCTCACTACACATCCATACAGACTGCAGTTGAGATGGGTTGACTATCTCACTACACATCCATACAGACTGCAGTTGAGATGGGTTGACTGCCTTACCCCCACATCTGTAAACAGCTATGAAAGAAAATATTCTTTTAGTTAACTGTGTTGTTTGCAGTCACTCACACGGGAGTGGAGCAGTCATGAGGCAACCCATCTGCAGTAAAGTTGGAACTTGGACTAACAAATGACACATAAGGGGTCTCAAAGCAAAGTGTTCAAGCCGTTTGCCTTACGCTCTGAAGGGCGGGGGTTAACTTTCTAGCTGTGTCATTTCGCTCCAAAATAACAGGTTTTACAGAGGTTCATGAGGATCATTGCTGGAGCTTTTGACTTGGTGCTTTATGCACTACTCTCTGCAGGTGGCTAGCTGTTCTGAGGGGACAGGGTGAGCCATATGAAATGCAGCCTGGTACAGTAAAGTTGATCTTAACACATGCAAGCGTTTGTTTTTTCTGTAATGATCAAAATGTTGATGGTTGTGAAATCTTTCAGGAAGGAGAAGGAGCCTCAGCAAGATCCAGACCAGTTGTACACTGTGTTACGGACAATACTACAACAAGTAAAAGTGAGTAATAACAGTATTCTGTCAATACCAGGGGCCTTCAGATGATGACCTTAAAAGTGTGTGTGAGAGAGAATGAACTTTAAATGAACAAACTTTATTTGCAAAGGGTCACAAATTGGGCACACAGGCCAGTCTTACATTTGGCCCTTTAAAACACCTATTTTTCACACATCAGTTGTGTTTTATCAATACAGCATGTTATGTTCATGTAATAATATGCATATTATGAATATCCTGTTATGAGAGAGATGGGGGGCGGGGGGTATGTCCTTGTAAATTGTGACTGTCTCTACAAATCAGTTGGTCATACATTGCCAAAACTGCAGTTTCTATTTGTATTTACAACTTTTGCGGTTTAAGGGGTGGGGGAGGGAGGTGTCTTTACGTCTGAGGATGTAGGGCCGTGTGGCTCATTATGTCGCTACAGACTGCAGGTCATGATTTTATTTTTGGCCATGACAGAAAAAAATGCCCAACTTTACCTAGGGTTTGAACCTGGATCCTCTGCTTGAGAACCCAGCATTCTTAACCATTCGACCAGTCGCTATTCTTGGTCATAAAATACATAAAGATTATTGTAAAACATGGCTCCTAAAGAGCTCTAGATACAGAAGAAACAGAGCAGGAAGTGTTCCTCACAAATGATCTCTCATTGAATCGTTGAGACTGACCATGTAAAAAGAGCACAGCAGACAAGCTGTACATGTCTTGTCCTAGCCTGGTACCTAAGGGCCAGATGTATAGAGACAAAAAGGAAGAAACCCAAAAGAATGGATGTGTTAGTCTGTCACAGTGTTACTGGTGTTAGAACAGCATTGTTTAGTTTTTAGAGAATAATTCTTTTATCACAGGTTTAACTCTTTGAGTCCCAAGAAACGCATCATACGTATGAAGGTTCCTACCTTAAAGCCCAACGAACGCATGATGCGCTGATTTTATCACTCTCTTTACTACCCCCTAGGCCTGTGATACTAAACCCCCTGGGACTCAAAGAGTTAATTCAGTGAGTGCTTAAGCAATGACCTATTGACCAGTGTTTAATTCAGGGCATGTTTAGGAAATTATTCTTATATCCTACGTTTATTCTGTGAGTTTTTAGATAATGTAACAACATGTTGAATTCGTTGACTATTTAGACAGTATTTGTAATGACGCATGTTTAACTCAGTGAGTGTTTAGATGATGATTTTTGTATCCCGTGTTTAATTTGGTGACTTTTGTCCTTACAGAGTCATGCAAGTGCTTGGCCTTTCTTGAAGCCAGTGGACAAGTCAGAAGCACCAGATTACTATGATCATATCAAGTTTCCTATGGGTAACTTTCATGACTGTTGCAGTCGCTCCTGTTGTTTGTGTGTGTTGTATCATGCTGATCTTCTGTTCAGTGTTTGGTTGCTCCTGATGATGTCGCTCCATCTCTTGCGTGGTCTTCCCTTTGCTCTGTGTTCATTATATTTCTTCAGCATGACTCTCTGTGGCAGTTGGTACCAGGGCATTCTTGTCAGGTGGCCAAACCATCTCATTTGTTGTTCTTTAATGAAATGTATGACTAGTCCTAGTCTTTATACATAGGTAACTAATAAATTGTTTAAAATTTTGTAAAAAAAAAAAAAAAAAACAACATAATTTTTATATATAAAAACTATATAAAGCTAGTAATCAGTAAACAAGAACAGAGTGAAGAATTTAATAAAATGCATGCCCCAAAGCCTGAAACAAAAGGTATTGGGTGACTCTGTGACCTCTATCATCGAGGTTTACTGGAAATTAAAAAAAAAAAATCTCGGTTTTCAAAAGCTATTAAAAGAAAGTCTCCCTAAATGCTATTTTTAGTTAATATATTCACATCTGGTTTTCCTAAACACTATGCAGGTGCTCATAGAACCAATGGCATTTTATTGCACCCTTTGCGACCAGGTAACTGCAGAAATAGTGATATATCGGCATTTACAGAAATGTGTTACAATTGGAAGTCATTAGAGTTAGCCTTTTTAGGGGTTTGAGGTTTGTGTGTATTTAAAGTCCGATATAGCTTTATTATAACTCAGTTTGCATAACACGTTACTTGCTTTCGACTGTCCTAAACATTTTGAAATATATATTCTTCTTCTCCCTGCCATAAGTTTTCAGATGAGAAAAAAATCATACAGAACTCTATGAAGACATGTCCTCCTTTGATTCATACTGCCTGGTTTCCTCTGGAACGCTTACTGGCTAGACCCTTTGATCTCTGTACTGCATATAGAGGTGGGCTAAGTGGTCTTGAGGATGGTGTCCGCCTCAAGTGCTAGAGGTCCAGGGTTCAAGCCCCTGTGAAGGCTGGGATTTTTTCATGTGGACTTCTAGTAATTTTCCCTGGTCTCTGGGTAGTAAGTTTGGACGCCCGTGTGTATTATTACGCACGTAAAAATATGCTTTTGTAGTTGGAAATAAAAAAAAGTAGCCTAACGGCACTGCCTGAGCAAGAAAAAATTTGGAGTTTAAAATCTACCCAAAGTATTTCAGGATCCTCGATGATGCAACAGAGTTCATGCACTGCGCTGAGATTCTTCAGACTCAGGCTTGAGTTAGAAGTAGAACAGAGCACTTATGGGTTACCCCCGTGTGCCATGATGTTGATCCGTCAAATAAACAAACAAACAAACAGCATATAGAGAGCATGTCTGTAGCAGAAATTCATAATTCTGTGGTGCGACTCCACATGGGCAAAGTTCTGACCCAGTCTTGAATGTACATATGGCTGCAGAATCTATTGTATCAAGTTCAGTCTAAATACAGTGGGTCTGTGGCTTTCATGTGAAGAGGTTAATTGGGTCATGGGTATTGTGTTCTGGATGGAAAGTGGTTCTAATGGCTGCATTGGGCTGGGATTTTATTGTCTTTGTTAGTTGAGTTGAGTCAAGAATTGTTATCACAGCACTCAGGGCATTCACAGGCTCTGTCCTCATCTTCAGCAGCCAGCGCAGTTCCAATACTGATGGTACCTGTCACAATCTGGTTATATGTCCGTCTTGCCTTTCCTCTGAGTGTAGTAAACCGGCCAGACCCTCAGGTTACACCCAGGTGCCTCTTTCTCTCCAGGCCATCTTCTTTCTCTACTGATTCCGTTGCTAGTTCCCAAAGGGTCTTGTCCTCATGTGCAGCCTTAATTATGTTGTGCTTCATTTTGTATGATAGCATATTTGTATGTGTGTGAAATTCCCAAGAATATATCAGAATTGACAACCAATTTAACTGTTCCCTTCATTTATTCACACAGACTTGCGGACCATGACAGAGCGACTGAAAGCCAGATACTATGTGCACAAACATTTGTTCATCGCAGACATCAATCGCATCGTCACAAACTGCAGATCGTACAATGAACCAGATACAGAATACTACAAGTGTGCCAACACCATTGAGAAATATTACATCACTAAGATGAAGGAAGCTGGTCTCATGGACAAGTGATATCACACTTAGCACACAACTCTGTGTTCACGTCAAAATATCAAAAACTGCTCACTGTTTGAGAAATTTCTTCTTCTCTTAGTGTTCACCAGCTGTAAACTACAGCAGAAAGTTCTGGTTGTTCGTCTACTTCTGGACTGTGGTCTAGTTCTGGAACTTGAGTTTGCCTCCTCATCTAGTGTACAAATTTGGTTTATTTGTGTGCAGACTGTTGGTTCCTCACCTCTCAGGCAGGTGCACTGACTGAAAAGAAAACCCCCTTATTAGTTGAGTTTTACTATTTGCTTATAAGGGGTGTCAGCATCTGTGCTTCCTAATGCCAGGGTCAATTCCAGATGCAGACGGTTTGCCTTGCGTTGGTTTCGACAGTGATACTAAAAGTTGACTGTTCAGAAGGGATGGCAAACAACTGACGTAAACCTTACCTATGAAAATCACAAAAAGCCACACAGAAAACGCTGGGTTGGTTCCTCAATGTCCTCTAAAGGATCCGCAAGTAACTTTTTTTTTTTTTTTAAATAAGGGGTAGTTGGTCTGTTCTTTTGTACCCCCCCCCCCCCCCCCCCCCACCCCCCCCCCCCCCCCCCCCCCCCTTTCCTCATATGAGGGCTAGTGAACCCACACAGGGAGAGAAACCGATTAACTGTTGAAATAATGTATATCACAGGACGTAATACATTTGATATAAACAAACCCACCCAGATGGGTCTGTAGGGAACCCCAGTCCTTTTTTATATATTTTTTTTAAGGATATCAAAGAGTATTAAGCAGTGACATCACAATGCAGTTGAACCAGTTGTGAACAGTTTTATACAGTTGAGTTGGTTTTAGGAATTTGCTGCTGTTGGGATTAGCATCTGATTAGTAGTTCTTTAACTCTTTCAGTCCCACAAGCTTCTAACCAATGTCCAGCGGAGTTAAGAATGGCAATAGTAAACTTATAGGTGTACTACTTCCAGGGGTGCCAACTATAGAACCTTTTCAGGAAACAAATATGTTGGCTTGAGTTCTTATTCTCTTTGCAGAGTGGATGTTTCAAAAACTGCTTTACATTCACCGGCTGTAAACTGCGAAAGAAAGTTTTTTAAATTTTTTATTTGTCCACTTCTTTCTGGATTATGGTTGTCTCCAGGACTTGAGTTTTGTGTGCATACCCATTTCACAGATCTATCTTATTTGTATGCAGACTGTTGGTTCCTTGCTTCTCAGGCAGATGCACTTTGACGGAAACACCTCTGAATAGTTAATTTTCACAACTTGCTTCTTAGGAGGGCAGTGGTTATTTTTGTGTCCCACAAGGGGGGCCTTAGAACCCACACTAGGGCCCTAGAACCCACACTGGGGCTGCCATATCTGGGGACCGAACCCAGGCCAGTCTCTACAGGCAAGTGAAATAACATTGTACATTTGTAATGTATTCATGAATGTTGTGTTCCGATTGGTTTATAACATGATATCACATGTTTATTAAATATTTCTGACAAGCACATTGCTCATTGTTTTGACTTGTCTGCATTTTGGAATGTCTCTCTTTTTATCTATTTATGATACTTTGTGACATTATTTTAAATCTCTTGCCCTGAGAAAGCTGTTTTTCCAGCTTTTGGGTGAAATAGAGATATGTCTTTGGACACATTATTGTGCCATACTGGCATCCAAGTCAAAGTGACCAAAACTGATCAAAGGGAAGGAAGTCAGTTAATTGTTTGCTCTATGTTTAGTGATTATATCCCTTTACCTAGGATCAAAGAAGCATAAACCTGCCTGTATGGTCTAGGAGTTTGACCCCTTGAATTTGTTGTAAAAACTCACCAAGACTCCAGATTTCTTCTCTTTTTATTTCTCAAGGTAGTTTTAGTAAATTATAAGGATGCATTGTGTTTATAAAGAAAAGACTTTTAAATGGGGTGAAAGATGCCCAGGAATGTTCAAAACAAACCAAAAGTTGTTTTAGATTTTTCATATGTAAGAGACAATGTCACCACTGATCATGAGGGCTATTAGACCAAAATGGCTGGGGCATACTGAGAGAATGTCAGATGACAGAGATGTAAAAACTATTTACACAACGGAGCTGAATGGTCGTAGACCACGAGGCAAACTAAGAAGATGATGGAGAGATAATATACAGACAGATCTACAAACACTTGGTGTCATCAACTGGAAAAAGAAGGCCAACCACAGAGATGAATGAGGTGGGTGATATCTGAAGCAGTGAACCTCAAAGGCTCAAAATGCTGAAGAAGTAGAGACAATGTGAATCAAAGCTGACAAATTACAGGTGATATTATAGGCATGTTATGAGAAGAAATGGACTAGAAAAACTTGGTGACATTTGACAAGACTGATGGGAAAAAAGAGCAATGTGAATGTAAAGAGATAAATATCTGAATGGCTAAGCCATATGGATGGGGCGAGACAAAAATATTGACCTGATCCGTGATTCTAATGATCATGTGAGACAGTGAAACATGACAGCCCAGACAACCCATGCTTATTGGTACAACACTTGACGACGACAATGATTAAAGACGTGCCAATGGTTGACAGCCCAGACAACCCATGCTTATTAGTACAACACTTGACAACGACAATGATTAAAGACGTGCCAATGGTTGACAGCCCAGACAACCCATTCTTATTGGTACAACACTTGACGACGACAATGATTAAAGACGTGCCAATGGTTGACAGCCCAGACAACCCATGCTTATTGGTACAACACTTGACAACGACAATGATTAAAGACGTGCCAATGGTTGACAGCCCAGACAACCCATGCTTATTGGTACAACACTTGACGACGACAATGATTAAAGACGTGCCAATGGTTGACAGCCCAGACAACCCATGCTTATTGGTACAACACTTGACGACGACAATGATTAAAGACGTGCCAATGGTTGACAGCCCAGACAACCCATGCTTATTGGTACAACACTTGACGACGACAATAATTAAAGACGTGCCAATGGTTGACAGCCCAGACAACCCATGCTTATTGGTACAACACTTGACGACGACAATGATTAAAGATGTGTTAATGGTTGACAGCCCAGACAACCCATGCTTATTGGTACAACACTTGACGATGACAATGATTAAAGACGTGCCAACGGTTGACAGCCCAGACAACCCATGCTTATTGGTACAACACTTGACGATGACAATGATTAAAGACGTGCCAATGGACGACACACAGACAACTCAAATCAGCCATAACATGATTTTGTCAAAAAGAAGAAAAGTCCAAGACCTGCTAGCTAACTTTTGTCAATAAAATGTTTATTGAGCGAGAACACTCGGCATTGTGAACTTTTTGATGTAAGAAATACAAATGAATAAACACTAACATTCTTCTTATAATATATTATTGTCAAATGCCTGAAAAACTGGCAGTTGAAAGTAAAAAGTATATGTTAACAAAATCATGAAACACAGCAAACAATGAAAATATATTAAGGGAAACTAACTGATAAAGTTAAATCTAAACATAAAATAAATTTCTATCAATGCTCATTTTTTTTTTTCTTTTCAAATTGTTCAACAGTTTATACATTTTTGTTCTTTCTTTTCTAATTACTATGAAAAATTACTTTAAAATGACAGTTGCATTTATGAATCTGGTAACATTGCAGCCCTACAGTGGTACTAACAAGCCCTTTATACCCCCACCACCCCAGCCCCCCCCCCCCCCCCCCCCCCCCCCCCCCCCCCCCCCCCCCCCCCCCCCCCACACAATACTAGGAAAAGTGCCCATAGTCCCAACAATCCAGCCTACTGCAGCTACCACAGTGCGTGCAGATCCACCCAGTGCTAGAAAGAATGCCATGAGTTCCAACAAGCCTGCCCACAGTTCTACCCAATGCTAGGAAGAGTGCTCAGCCCAAACAAGCCCATCCAATGCTAGAAAGCATGCTGACAGTTGCAAAAAGCCTACCCAATGCTAGGAAGAGTGCTTAGTCCAAACAAGCCCATCCTATGCTAGAAAGAGTACTCAGTCCAAACAAGCCCACCCAATGCTAGGAAGAGTGCTTAGTCCAAACAAGCCCATCCAATGCTAGGAAGAGTACTCAGTCCAAACAAGCCCACCCAATGCTAGGAAGAGTGCTTAGTCCAAACAAGCCCATCCAATGCTAGAAAGCATGCTGACAGTTCCAATAAGCCCACCCAATGCTAGGAAGAGTACTCAGTCCAAACAAGCCCATCCTATGCTAGAAAGCATGCTCACAGTTGCAAAAAGCCCACCCCAGTGCTAGAAAGTTACACAGAAATATGGAAATTATGCTGTAAGGTTGATCTTGACAAGTAAAGACGGTTTACAAAGATATAATTACAAAAATAATGAACAGATGTGAAATGATTAACTAAGCCTAATTAAAATTAAGCAGGATGCTTTCTTTCTGGAATAATTTTAATTCACAGTGTTTTTTACCTATAATAGGCACTTTGTCATGAGTACCATCACTTTTGTTGTTGATACTTTGAACCTCGGAAAAAAATGGAGTGATGGCATTAAGAACAGCTTTACAGAAATGAACATCAATCTTAATAGTGCTTGTGACAGATTTAAACAAAGAACGTTAAATCTCCCCCCTGACACTTCTCCTAAACAAAAATCAGGCGCCATGCACATAAATGGAGTACCCCTGAGAGAGGATAAAGAGCCCACATACCTCGGCGTAACATTTGATGATAGATTAACATGGAGAAAACACATCAACAAGGCAGCAACCAAAGCCAGAAGGAGGGTAGCCATTCTGAGAAAACTAAGTGGAACCACATGGGGTGCTAGCGGGAAAATACTTAGAAAAGTTTACCAACAAAGTGTTCGACCACATCTTGAATACGGATCAACAGCATGGAGTTCGGCATCAAAAACCACATTGCAAGAATTAGACAAAGTGCAAAATCAAGCACTCAGAGTTACCACAGGCAGTATGAAATCAACACCTATAGCTGTGATGGAGAAAATGGGGATGACCCAAGCACTGAGTGAA